TCACATCGCATTACCACACGCTCTCAGTGCGACACACCGCCTTTCCATACTCTCTCAGTACCCTCACACCGCATTACCATACACTCTCATTACCTCACACGGCATTACCACACACTCTCAGTACCACACACCGCCTTTCCATACTCTCTGAGTACCCTCACACCGCATTACCATACACTCTCATTACCCTCACACCGCATTACCATACACTCTCAGTACCACACATACTCTCAGTACCATCACATCGCATTATCATACACTCTCAGTACCACACCGCCTTTCCATACACTCTCAGTACCATCACATCGCATTACCACACACTCTAAGTACCATCACATCGCATTACCACACACTCTCAGTACCCTCACACCGCATTACCATACACTCTCAGTACCACAAACACTCTCATTACACTCACACCGCATTACCATACACTCTCAGTACCACAAACACTCTCAGTACCATCACACCACATTACCATACACTCTCAGTACCACAAACACTCTCAGTACCATCACACCCCATTACCATACACTCTCAGTACCCTCACACCGCATTACCATACACTCTCATTACCCTCACACCGCATTACCATACACTCTCATTACCCTCACACCGCATTACCATACACTCTCAGTACCCTCACACCGCATTACCATACACTCTCAGTACTACACACACTCTCATTACCCTCACACCGCATTACCATACACTCTCAGTACCACAAACACTCTCAGTACCCTCACACCGCATTACCATACACTCTCATTACACTCACACCGCATTACCATACACTCTCAGTACCACACACACTCTCATTACCCTCACACTGCATTACCATATACTCTCAGTACCACACACCGCCTTTCCATACACTCTCAGTACCCTCACACCACATTACCATACACCCTTAGTGTCCTCACATCGCATTACCATACACTCTCATTACCCTCACACCGCATTACTACACACTCTCATTACCCTCACACCGCATAACCATACACTCTTAGTACCATACATAATCTCAGTACCATCACATCGCATTACCACACACTCTCATTACCCTCACACCGCATTACCATACACTCTCAGTACCACACACACTCTCAGTACCCTCACACCGCATTACCATACTCTCTCAGTACCACACATACTCTCAGTACCCTCACACCGCATTACCATACACTCTCAGTACCACACACACTCTCATTACCATCAAGCCATCTTGATATACACTCTGATGTTTTTATTATCACATTACACTATAATTAATATATACATGACCCGTGAAGACCCGGGGTTAAATAGATCTTCAGCGCCCCATGCTTGCCGTAAAAGGCGACTATGCTTGTCGTAAGAGGTGACTAATGGGATCGGGTGGTCAGGCTCGCTGATGCACGTCGTCGTATCCCAATTGCGCGGATCGATGCTCATGATGTCAATCACTGGATTGTGTAATCCAGACTCGATTATTTAGAGACCGATTATTTACAGATCCTCGTTATCCATATATTTAAAACCCCTACCAAGCAGGGTAACCGAGTCTTACAAGTATGGCAGTTGTTCGTCATGTGAACGTTCTTCGACACAGATTTATTTATTCATGAATGTTTTACCTGCACAAGCTTCATAGCTGCCGCCGCGCATGACAAGAAATTATAAATCATCGAAATATTAGAAAACACAAGAATGTTCAAATACGTGACATTTCCCCTTCATAAGCCATCGAACCTAGCATTTTGTACGACCGAAAAGGTGAAATCTGCTCTTGATAACTGAGGGTTTCTTGGAACTTTAATCAACAGAAATATCATCACTACAGTGCAACTGTAATAGAGCTAAGTGCGCAGTGAAGCGGTCATAAAATCAGACGTAGTTTTTCAATCTAAATTGATTACATGTCTGATATTGATTGTCCAATCAAATTCGAGTATTTCACGTAGTCATGGTACAATTAGGAGATCGACGTACTGTGTTTGGAAATAAGATTAATGTTAGACCGATTTGATAATAGTATCACTGTATAATGAAATAGATCAGTGGAGACATGCAGATATTCTTAAAACTGAAACCCACAACCGTTGTGAGTGCGGGTTTGTTTCAACCAGAAACCATGCTTCTCTATGAGTTTCCTCCCTAATGCTAATTCTTATATTACTTTTACGAGAGTTCACATTTCATCGACAGGAGGAACAAATGTTTACACTTGTTTTTGGTACGCTTTGGAAGAAAATATTGAACATGCCTAAAGCCAAATACATAATGAGGATAAGTTGTCATCAAGACAAAGTAAACTGCGTTGTCAAATTTAAAATTCTCAATTATCTACCCATTAACATAAAGGAGTTTGAATCAACAAGAGAACCCCCTTAAAAATACTTGTGTTTCATTCAACCCCGACCTACCCCTTGTTTCACTTGCTACGCAATTTTGTTGTTTTTATCACAGCTAGATACTGCTGTGAGTGAGTGAGTTGGGTTTAACGCCGCTTTTAACATTATTCCAGTTATATCACGGCGTGTCAGCTTAATGTGGGGGGGAAGCCCGAAATGATGCAGGTCTCAGACGTTTACCACTTCGGTGAAACCCACGAGCACGGATATGGTGCTGACGAACCTAGAAATATAATAATTTTTTTATTAATTTTCATTTCATAATCCCTGATATAAAAAGACTACACCCAGAGAGGTGTATTTAGACAAATTCTGATTTTTAACCCACTTTCATCTATGCACCCACACATGACTTCCATTCGTCCTGTACAGCTAACAATGATCCACATACATGTGCAATATATAACAAAACTGAAGTAAGAAATATATCATGCAAGTCAAGGTTTTCAAGGGAGACGACTTTTATCTTCAAATAATATATGATACAAAGCCATATTAGTATAAAATATATTGGGTTCATTAGAAAGCTGAGATTTTTCATAGGTTATAATGGCAATAAATAGATAAAGTTTGTTTATTTGTTTTTTGTTTGCCGCGCTCAGCAATATTCCAACTATATGACATGCATCAACCAAGTCAACGTGCCTGACCACCCGATCCCGTTAGTCGCCTCTTACGACAAGCATAATCGCGTTTTAGGTCAAGCATGGGTTTCTGAGAACTATACTACCCCGGATCTTCACGGGTCTTTTGTAAAAGAAAGAACTAACAATGTGCACGATGAATAATCATAGAAAGGTCATTTTGTGGTTTTTAAGCCTCTTTTCGTGTACCTGAACATTGTTTACACAGGTGGCTGATATCTAAGGGTGTGTTGGTACAGATTGAATATTTATGTTATCAATTGGACACCAATTGATAGAATCTTATATGGCTATATATGTATCCAATAGTCTGGTGGTTGTCCCGTGATTATCCGGGTTAGAATAGGTCTTCAGCAACACATGCTTGCCGCAAGAGGCCACTATGCTTTTTTAAGGAAAGTATCGTACAGATAACGTGTTCTGTTAGTTTATTTCTTGTATAACGTCCCACTACATGCACATGACAGCGGTCTGCAAATAATCTTATTCTGGTTGACACCTTGATGTCCTTTAAAAGAGAAACCCCCTACACCCGCGTCTGATTCGCATCTTCCATTAATGATATGATTGTAAAGAATACTGCACATATCTAAAAAGCAACAAAACCTGTTTATAGTTGAAATTACCAAAAATCGTTTCATGCCAAAAATTATCCAAAAAAAACCCAACTGTTGTTATCATTACCTTCCACAAAATCAAGTGGTGTGCCACCCCAAGAATTAAAATCACCTCCGATGATAATATACACATCCTCACAACGGATCATCTTATAATAGTAATATAACGTTTTCACATTGACGTAACAGGGTATTATACCAGGTTGAAGACTCCGGGTGAATATAAACACATGCATACAACAGATCATCTTATGATAGTAATATAAGGTTTTCACATTGACGTAACAGAGTATTATACCAGGTTAAAGAATGAGTGAGTGAGTGAGTATGGTTTTACGCTGCTTTTAGCAGTATTCCAGCAATAACACCGCTGGGGACACCAGAAATGGGCTTCACACATTGTACCCATGTCGGGAATCGAACCCGGGTCTTCAGCGTGACGAGCGAACGCTTTAACCACTAGGCTACCCGACCGCCCCTCCCAGGTTAAAGACCCCGGGTGCATATATACACATGCATACAACAGGTCATTCTTTAAACCACATGTTTACTTATCTAGTAAAATGAATATACCACTATCACACTCTTTGGTCCACTTTACAAGATGAGCTAAAGTGTTTCTGATCAATACTGTTACAAAAAACGGTGGCCCTGATGTGACGAGGGTAGAAACTAGGGTTTGTAGGTGAACCTGTATGAAACACCGTACAATCATCTTGGCCCAGGCCACGTCCCCATCTATTGTTCGTCTTATCTCTCTCATGCTTTGGCACGAGTGGCCCAGTCGTCTAAGGCGCCGCGATTCGCAGTGCAGAATTGCGTCCCTTGGGCACACCAGAAACCTATAATTATGGGTTCGAATCCCGGTTCGCACCGACTATGTTTCTAGGTTTGTCAGCATCATATCCGTGCTCGTGGGTTTCACCGAAGTGTTAAACGTCTGAGACCTGCATCACTTCGAGCTTTTCTCCAACATTAAGCTGACACGCCGTGATTTAACTGGAATACTGTTAAAAGCGGTGATAAAGCCAACTCACTCCCTCACTCTTTATCAATAACCTAGTTATTTAGGTTTGCGTTTATCGTATGCAGGGGACTGTTTGTTATACACACCTGTAGTTTGTATTCTCCTGAAACATGAAACAAAGAGTTGCAAACGTTCTCGCATAGGACGTTTCTTGTCAACACGTATCTTTGTTATATTACTTGATATTTCCATTTCCATGATCCTCTACTTGTTTTGAAGAGTATACCGCATGTGTAGATTGTGCATGAGACATCTTATCACGCAATGACACCACTGAGATGTGTTCTTTGGACCTCAACCTTTTTTGGCCGAAGATAATGTCATGTGATAACACAAGCTCCTCCCACTGCATACTTAAGGCCCGCAGTCATTGAGATCCGCAGTTCAACACGACGGGCATATTGTCAGGCTGGTGAGAATAACGCTGATTCACTAATGTACCTAAGGTCATCCCATGCAATCTCAGTTTAGTAAATCCTTTACTATGCAAGCACATTTAATTTACGAAATATCATGACGAAGGTCTATAATTTCGTAAAAACTTCATCGTACTTACAAGGCATGTTACATATCGTATCCTAGATATGCCGGCATGACTGCGCAAGAAGCAACAATGACTTGCATCTTATTTAATGCACGGTGCAACAGCGTGTCAATGGAATTTCACATGCAGTATGCGAGGCGAACTAGAGGAGTGAACCTGGTGTCGCAAACCAACCCTCGGTTATATATCAGACAGATTCATTGAGGGGTGCAGAAGGTGGGTTGTTCGATCCTCTGGACAAGGGAGTCATACGTGAAAGATGGTACTTGTTGTAACCCTGCCTGGCGCTCGGGTTAAGGAAATGCGGCGACTAGTTGAGTGGAGTCAATTACTGTTTCTGAGTGGGGCATCCATGGTGCATCCATGTTAAGCTGCGGCATGGTATCTCACTTGGCTGGACTGTAAAACCGGCGTAAGTGGGCTTGTTGTACAAGCACGCCGCTACACAAGTGAAGTAATTTTGGAATACCATGTGTTAATGAGTGAATATCAGTTAACGAATATGAAGCAGTGAATATAAGCGAATGAATATGAGGCAGTGAATATAAGCGAATGAATATGAGGCAGTGAATAAAAGCGAATGAATATGAGGCAGTGAATATAAGCGAATGACTACGAGGCAGTGAATATGAGTGAATGACTACGAGGCAGTGAATATGAGTGAATAACTACGAGGCTGTGAATATGAGTGATTGTCTGCGAGGCAGTGGATATGTGGGAATGACTACGAAGCTGTTAATATGAGTGATTGACTGCGAGGCAGTGGATATGTGGGAATGACTACGAGGCAGTGGATATGTGGGAATGACTACGAAGCTGTGAATATGAGTGATTGTCTGCGAGGCAGTGGATATGTGGGAATGACAACGAGGCAGTGGATATGTGGGAATGACTACGAGGCAGTGGATATGTGGGAATGACAACGAGGCAGTGGATATGTGGGAATGACTACGAGGCAGTGGATATGTGGGAATGACAACGAGGCAGTGGATATGTGGGAATGACAACGAGGCAGTGGATATGTGGGAATGACTACGAGGCAGTGGATATGTGGGTATGACAACGAGGCTGTGGATATGTGGGAATGACAACGAGGCAGTGGATATGTGGGAATGACTACGAGGCTGTGGATATGTGGGAATGTCAACGAGGCAGTGGATATGTGGGAATGACTACGAGGCAGTGGATATGTGGGAATGACAACGAGGCAGTGGATATGTGGGAATGACAACGAGGCAGTGGATATGTGGGAATGACTACGAGGCAGTGGATATGTGGGAATGACAACGAGGCAGTGGATATGTGGGAATGACTACGAGGCTGTGAATATGAGTGATTGTCTGCGAGGCAGTGGATATGTGGGAATGACTACGAGGCAGTGGATATGTGGGAATGACTACGAGGCAGTGGATATGTTGGAATGACTATGAGGCAGTGGATATGTGGGAATGACTACGAGGCAGTGGATATGTGGGATTGAAACGAGGCAGTGGATATGTGGGAATGACTACGAGGCTGTGAATATGAGTGATTGTCTGCGAGGCAGTGGATATGTGGGAATGACTACGAGGCAGTGGATATGTGGGAATGACTACGAGGCTGTGAATGTGAGTGATTGTCTGCGAGGCAGTGGATATGTGGGATTGACTACGAGGCAGTGGATATGTGGGAATGACAACGAGGCAGTGGATATGAGTGAATTACTACGAGGCAGTGGATATGTGGGAAGACTCAGGAGTGTCTACTTGCCTATATCAAAGACTAGTTATCACCGTTGCCACATCATGCAGAGTATCACACGATTTTACAGAATCAAAAATCGGTTCCGAAAACGTGGTCCCAGCCATCGCCTGTCGAATTTGTGTTTAAATTATTTTAAAAATTAAGCGGGGACAAATATTTCCGAAGTGGTTCAGTATTCAATCAACTCGCAAATGTACTTTTAAATATTTGAGTTAAACCTTCATTTTTATCTTTTTAACTCTAATGACTGAACGCTTATCACGGTGACTCAGAAGCAGTGCTATGTTTAGATGCCATCTGCTGTGCATGTCATGTTCCAGCGATATGCAGCAATACTTGACACTGATAGCCGATATGTTATTGTAAATATATATGTAAATTGTTATTGTTTTTGTTTGTCAGGGATGAAATCTCAAATCGAAATAAGAATTGCGATCTGATTAGAGTTCGCGTTTTCATCACAAGGGACACAACCCGTCTTCTACACCAGGTGGCACCACGATCGAGCTAAGAATAAGTAGGCTTGAAATGGCAAGATGTATATAACGACGAGGAAAGTCCGTCTTTTGGTAGATAGTGAGTGAGTGAGTTGGGTTTGACGCCGCTTTTAACAGTATTCCAGTTATATCACGGCGTGTCAGCTTAATGTGGGAGGAAAGCCCGAAGTGATGCAGGTCTAAGACGTGTACCACTTCGGTGAAACCCACGAGCACGGATATGGTGCTGACAAACCTAGAAACATAATCAAGGCGAACAGGGATTCGAACCCACAATCATAGGTTTCTGGCTTGCCCAAGGGACGCAAATGTGCACTGCGAATCGCGGCGCCTTAGACGACTGGGCCAGTTTCCCTCTGCCTTTGTGTGTGTGTGTGTGTGTGTGTGTGTGTGTGTGTGTGTGTGTGTGTGTGTGTGTGTGTGTGTGTGTGTGTGTGTGTGTGTGTGTGTGTGTGTGTGTGTGTGTGTGTGTGTGTGTGTGTGTGTGTGTCTGTGTCTGTGTGTCTGTGTCTGTGTCTGTGTGTGTGTTGAAGTAAATTTAGAGTAATAAAGAGCCATTTAATAAAAATGGATACTGAAGAATTGACTTCAATAATTTTACCCGTTCGTCAGCAGGCGTGACCTATTATTCTTTTTCGGATTGTGGCAACGTAAGCGCCAAAAAATGCTTCGTTAACGAATCAAATGCCACGGAATTACTAGTACTTGCAATTCATTCATATACCCGTTACCACCAAACATCAGTAAACACAGAATCTCTGAGTATATGTGTAGTCCCTAACTGCTGTCGACACAGTAAATCCATAGTGCTTCGGATAAAAACATATTGAAGGAATTAGTTTTGACAAAGCAACATTTCAAAAGAGCTTTGTCTAAACTGCAATATATATTGTGCAGAGTGTAGCTGGGTGTAACCATTTGGAAGAAGACATAAATGTATTTTGATTCACAACAAATGGTAGCAGCATACAAATGTCTTATGTAAGGTCATTACCGAGTTAACGAGTGTCACGTATATTACAGGGAACTATCAGGTTGTAACTATGCCGAAAAGGGAACGTGTTAAACCTGGCAAATGGCACGTGTCTGAAACTCCAGAGGGAAGGATTCAAGATTGGTTGACGGCATGGGACAAGGGCCATTGGGATTTCGTCTACCTGAAACCTAGCCCGTAAGTACACATAGGGTAGAGTAGGTCGGGGACTTGGACTTCACCTACACGGAGCCCGGCCAGTAGGTACACATAGGGTAGAGTAGGTCGGGCACTGGGACTTCACCTACACGGAGCCCGGCCAGTAGGTATACATAGGGTAGAGTAGGTCGGGCACTGGGACTTCACCTACACGGAGCCCGGCCAGTAGGTAAATATAGGGTAGAGTAGGTCAGGCACTGGGATTTCACCTACACGGAGCCCGGCCAGTAGGTATACATAGGGTAGAGTAGGTCGGGCACTGGGACTTCACCTACACGGAGCCCGGCCAGTAGGCATACATAGGGTAGAGTAGGTCGGGCACTGGGACTTCACCTACACGGAGCCCGGCCAGTAGGTATACATAGGGTAGAGTAGGTCGGGCACTGGGACTTCACCTACACGGAGCCCGGCCAGTAGGCATACATAGGGTAGAGTAGGTCGGGCACTGGGACTTCACCTACACGGAGCCCGGCCAGTAGGTATACATAGGGTAGAGTAGGTCGGGCACTGGGACTTCACCTACACGGAGCCCGGCCAGTAGGTATACATAGGGTAGAGTAGGTCGGGCACTGGGACTTCACCTACACGGAGCCAGTAGGTATACATGGGGTAGAGTAGGTCGGGCACTTGGACTTCACCTACACGGAGCCCGGCCAGTAGGTATACATAGGATAGAGTAGGTCGGGCACTGGGACTTCACCTACACGGAGCCCGGCCAGTAGGTATACATAGGATAGAGTAGGTCGGGCACTGGGACTGCACCTACACGGAGCCAATAGGTATACATAGGGTAGAGTAGGTCGGGCACTGGGACTTCACCTACACGGAGCCCGGCCAGTAGGTATACATAGGGTAGAGTAGGTCGGGCACTGGGATTTCACCTACACGGAGCCCGGCCAGTAGGCATACATAGGGTAGAGTAGGTCGGGCACTGGGACTTCACCTACACGGAGCCAATAGGTATACATAGGGTAGAGTAGGTCGGGCACTGGGACTTCACCTACACGGAGCCCGGCCAGTAGGTATACATAGGGTAGAGTAGGTCGGGCACTGGGACTTCACTTACACGGAGCCAATAGGTATACATAGGGTAGAGTAGGTCGGGCACTGGGACTTCACCTACACGGAGCCCGGCCAGTAGGTATACATAGGGTAGAGTAGGTCGGGCACTGGGACTTCACCTACACGGAGCCCGGCCAGTAGGTATACATAGGGTAGAGTAGGTCGGGCACTGGGACTTCACCTACACGGAGCCCGGCCAGTAGGTATACATAGGGTAGAGTAGGTCGGGCACTGGGACTTCACCTACACGGAGCCCGGCCAGTAGGCATACATAGGGTAGAGTAGGTCGGGCACTGGGACTTCACCTACACGGAGCCCGGCCAGTAGGTATACATAGGGTAGAGTAGGTCGGGCACTGGGACTTCACCTACACGGAGCCCGGCCAGTAGGTATACATAGGGTAGAGTAGGTCGGGCACTGGGACTTCACCTACACGGAGCCAGTAGGTATACATGGGGTAGAGTAGGTCGGGCACTTGGACTTCACCTACACGGAGCCCGGCCAGTAGGTATACATAGGATAGACTAGGTCGGGCACTGGGACTTCACCTACACGGAGCCCGGCCAGTAGGTATACATAGGATAGAGTAGGTCGGGCACTTGGACTTCACCTACACGGAGCCCGGCCAGTAGGTATACATAGGATAGAGTAGGTCGGGCACTGGGACTTCACCTACACGGAGCCAATAGGTATACATAGGGTAGAGTAGGTCGGGCACTGGGACTTCACCTACACGGAGCCAGTAGGTATACATAGGATAGAGTAGTTCGGGCACTGGGACTTCACCTACACAGAGCCGGCCAGTAGGTATACATAGGGTAGAGTAGGTCGAGCACTGGGACTTCACCTACACGGAGCCAGTAGGTATACATAGGGTAGAGTAGGTCGAGCACTGGGACTTCACCTACACGGAGCCAGTAGGTATACATAGGATAGAGTAGGTCGGGCACTGGGACTTCACCTACACGGAGCCCGGCCAGTAGGTATACATAGGGTAGAGTAGGTCAGGCACTGGGACTTCACCTACACGGAGCCCGGCCAGTAGGCATACATAGGGTAGAGTAGGTCGGGCACTGGGACTTCACCTACACGGAGCCCGGCCAGTAGGTATACATAGGGTAGAGTAGGTCGGGCACTGGGACTTCACCTACACGGAGCCCGGCCAGTAGGTACATATAGGATAGAGTAGGTCGGGCACTGGGACTTCACCTACACGGAGCCCGGCCAGTAGGTACACATAGGGTAGAGTAGGTCAGGCACTGGGACTTCACCTACACGGAGCCAGTAGGTATACATAGGATAGAGTAGGTCGGTGTACTGGGATTTCACCTACACGTGGCCAGTAGGTATACATAGGGTAGAGTAGGTCGGGCACTGGGACTTCACCTACACGGAGACTGTCCAGTACGTATACATAGGATAGAGTAGGTCGGGCACTCGGACTTCACCTACACGGAGCCCGGCGAGTAGGTATACATAGGTAAGAGTTGGTCGGGCACTGGGACTACACCTACACAGAGTCCGGCCAGTAGGTATACATAGGGAAGAGTAGGTCGGGCACTGGGACTTCACCTACACGGAGCCAGTAGGAATACATAGGGTAGAGTAGGTCGGGCACTGGGACTTCACCTACACAGAGTCCGGCCAGTAGGTACACATAGGGTAGAGTAGGTCGGGCACTGGGACTTCACCTACACGGAGCCAGTAGGTATACATAGGGTAGATTAGGTCGGGCACTGGGACTTCACCTACACGGAGCCCGGCCAGTAGGTATAGATAGGGTAGAGTAGGTCCGGCACTGGGACTTCACCTACACGGAGCCCGGCCAGTAGGTACATATAGGATAGAGTAGGTCGGGCACTGGGACTTCACCTACACGGAGCCCGGCCAGTAGGTATACATAGGGTAGAGTAGGTCAGGCACTGGGATTTCACCTACACGGAGCCAGTAGGTATACATAGGATAGAGTAGGTCGGTGTACTGGGATTTCACCTACACGTGGCCAGTAGGTATACATAGGGTAGAGTAGGTCGAGCACTGGGACTTCACCTACACGGAGCCAGTAGGTATACATAGGGTAGAGTAGGTCGGTGTACTGGGACTTCACCTACACGGAGCCAGTAGGTATACATAGGGTAGAGTAGGTCGGGCACTGGGACAACACCTACACGGAGCCCGGCCAGTAGGTATACATAGGGTAGAGTAGGTCAGGCACTGGGATTTCACCTACACGGAGCCAGTAGGTATACATAGGGTAGAGTAGGTCGGTGTACTGGGACTTCACCTACACGTGGCCAGTAGGTATACATAGGGTAGAGTAGGTCGGGCACTGGGACTTCACCTACACGTGGCCAGTAGGTATACATAGGGTAGAGTAGGTTGGGTACTGGGACTTCACCTACACGGAGCCTGACCAGTAGATATACATAGGGTAGAGTAGGTCAGGCACGGGGACTTCATTTATACGGAGCCTGACCAGTAGGTATACATAGGGTAGAGTAGGTCGGGCACAGGGACTTCACCTACACGGAGCCAGTATGTATACATAGGGTAGAGTAGGTCAGGCACTGGGACTTCATTTATACGGAGCCTGACCAATCTTAATTTGGGAAAGTTTTAACTTAAATTACAAACTTATATCTGTTAACACATATAGTATGCGGATGATCATGAATTTCAAAAGCCACAACGACCCGTGAAGATCCGGGTTAGGATAGGTTTTCAGCAATCCATGCTTGCGTAGAAGGTGACTATGCTCGTGGTAAGAGGCGGTGGTCAGGCCCGCTGACTTGGTTGATGCAAGTCATTGTATCTCAATTGCGTGGATTGATGATCATGATGTAAATCACTAGATTGCTTGGTCCAGACTCGATCATTTACAGACCGCCGTCATACAGTTGGAATATTTGAGTGCGGCGTTACATAACAAACAACAACAACAACAACAAAAGGCATTACAGTGTCGATGTTGATAATCTTATTCTTTGAATACACAACGCCATTCAGAAAGTGGTCAAATGTAACAAATGTTATATTTGGGATAACACTTTCTTAGTAAAGTACAGATTCTCGTACTTTTTGGGGTTGAGTCCCGTCCGGGATTCGAACCCACACTTGCCAGAGTGAGGCACCTAATCGCCAGCACACAAAGTCAGCTATCTAACCCATTCAGCCACCGAGGCTTCCACAACTGGTTAACTGTTAAATTTTATTCTTTTTATGCAGGAATCTGGTGAAATACTTTGATAAAGTTACTGAGGGACGGAAAGGTCTGAAAATACTCGTGCCCCACTGTGCCACGACCTATGACCTCATCTGGTGAGTGTTTCTACAGGACATAGCGCCAACTTAACACAAAGCTACAGCACGGTACAAGCATACACCACAGGCGTTATGAAAAACATTGCGACTTGAACAATGATTCTTATTCCTGGAAATGTCAGATATGACAAAAACACTCACAGTTCGGTCATGGTTGTACTCTATGTTCATGTTAATCCCAGTCTCCATTGTTTGTATGTTCCGGCAATGAACAGACTGTCTATCTGGAATCTCTGAACAACGTTGACGTTCTAAACCCTAAACCTGCATCAACATATCATACAATAATAACTGTCAGTTGAGGACCCGTGAAGATCCGGGGTAGAATAGGTCTTCAGCAACCCATGCTTGCCATAAAAGGCGACTATGCTTGTCGTAAGGGCGACTGACGGGATCGGGTGGTCAGGCTCGTTGATTTGGTTGATGCATGTCATCGATCCCAATTGCGTGGATCGATGCTAATATCAATGACTGGATTGTCTGGTCCAAACTCGATGATTTACAAACCGCCTTCATATAGCTTGAATATTGCTGAGTGCAGCGTTTAACAAACAAACAAACAAATCCTTTCGTTGAATCATACTTTTCTGCAGGTGTTTTAGGGTGAGTGAGTGAGTATGGTTTTACGCCGCTTTTAGCAATATTCCAGCAATATCACGGCTGGGGATACCAGAAATGGGATTCACACGTTTTAGAAAATAAATAAGACATCTATAATATTTATTAGTTGAATTCCCTCAAGTAATGCCAATGAAACAATTCAAGAGAGTTCACGTGCGCCTATATTCGATGTGCAGATTTGCCCCCATTAGTCAAGGATCCGGTGATCGTGGGTTCGAATCCCATATTCTTACTTATTACGAGATATGGTTTGTTTGCAAGGAGAAATGTCCTCTATGATTTACTATACTCGTACTCATACGACCTGTTCACTTTGGGTTTAATCACACATTAAGCTAACACAATCACGCTGAACAAAACTGAGACACTCTTTAAAAAGGAGTCTAACTATACTCATACACCAAAGGATCATAGCGTCAGTACTTTGATTACCAACACTTCAATATTTATTTCATTTTAAAGTAAACTATTTCCGTAGATACTAGTAACTTAGTCATCACCAAATTAATTAATTGTTAGCCATGATCGTCGCTTCTTTTTAACAGAGTGATGGTTTTACGATGAGGTTAGTGGGTTCACCTGCGCCCGTTTGTACAAAGACCGATGAAGATCCGATCGCTGACGTTTTTGTCTTTGTGTTTAGGTTATGTGAACAGGGTACACCAGAGTAAATAACATTACAATTAGATAAACTCTCTGATATCGATGACGTTTTTGACGTGTTTAGGTTATGTGAGCAAGGGCACAGTGTGGTTGGCACTGATCTGGCCGAGAGCGCCGCACAGCGGATCTTCAAACAGTACAAGAAGAAACCAGTTATTGAAGACGTCCCGAGTATCGCCGGAAAACTTTACAAGGTAATGGCACCAATCAGAAGAAAAATGAGACACACTTCCTATTTGTTTCCAATTTCTAAATTTTAAAGAAATATTTCCGTCGTGCCCATGCCAGGTGTCACGGATCTCTGCTTCAATGAACAGGGGTGTCAGTAAACAGGAATAAAGTAATAATGAGAACGTGGTAATAGGTTCACAGGTATATTATTAACAACTAATTGTACCAAAAGATGACAATAAGAAGATGAAATAAGCCCAATCTGCGCTGACGAAGACCTCTGATTAATTAAATCAGAACAAATACACAAGCGGCTTAGGATAAATAACGGGGAATAAAAATATGTGGCCTTGACTGTAAAATAGACGAGAACGCCTGAATATCAAACTAGTCTAATCGACTAAAGATTAAGCCATTTGGCTGAGCAAGGAAATACTAAAATTCCCAATTAGCTAGACTATCACAGAAAGGTTTGTTATCCACGGATTACCGGAAGAACTGAGTATTGGAAACCCTAGTTACTTAGGAACTAGACAATCACGGGAAGGATTGTTATCCATGGATTACTGGAAGAACTGAGTATTGGAAACCGTAGTTACTAAGTAGCTAAATACAACGAGAGTGGTAAAGACACAAGATCTGACAAAGTTTAGATATATACTGCGCGCGGACCTCAGAGGAGGGAATCCCTCATGTACAGCCGGGTAATTATAACAGTATGGGCCGCCCACATGTGTTTTTAATCATGGTGAAAACACGCATAGCAAACTTACTTCTATATACTGAAGTTAGTTATAGAATTGACACTGAATATAAGCTGTCCAACGGTTTCATTACAGATTTACCACAAGCCATATACAATTATTATTGAGGAGGCAAAAATAATCATAAATAATTGAGAAATATTTGAGTGTACATAAAAATTACTCTAATTTTGCAAATCATGGTTACAAAAATTGTCAATACATGACTAAGGTAGCGAACATTTAGGAGATAACAAACATCAGGTCCATACATGGTATGAGTGTGCCATTAAATTTTCAAGAGCAGGAAATAGTCGGGTCACTAATGACACTGTATGTCTAACTGCAATGACACTGTATGTCTTACTGCAATGACACTGTACAACGACGACCGCCGGACTTTGGCGAGCGGCGTTGGAAATAACGGTGCGGTCACTAGACCGTGACAAAGGTAAATTATATGACCCGGTGACATTAGGCAAATTGTGAAACAAGTTTTCTTTATAAGGCTGTCAATTGCAATTCGCCCCAAACGTGTTTTATTAAGGATAGTCACCGAGTCAAACTAAAAGGCTAATAGACCTAAAGTAACACGTGATCTGAACACCTCACAATGGAATTATATATCTGCACACGCCGACTGTGCGATATTTTGAAATATAACGCAAAATAAACAATATTTTTCAGTAAACACAGTACTGTGTATTTGTTACCTATGCCCAGGCTGTTTATGCAATGATCGCTCGATGGCTGCGTTTACCACAATACAGGCACTGGTCATTGGCCGAGAATGTGCTGACCCGTATGTGGACATGTTATGTATATATGCAAAACGTCTATTTTATAATCACTAGGTCGCTTTGACGTTTAAAAAATAATGAAAGGTTCAGTTTATCAAATGCAATGTATTTGTTACAGAATGACACTGGTACCTTCAAATTTTACGTGGGCAATTTCTTTCTGTTTAACGAGTGAGTATAACGATATACTGTTATTATGATATAACCCAAGGGGGAATATGATTTACGCCGCTTTTAGCAATATATCAGTTATATCACGGCTTTACCCACAAGGCCACACGTCCCCACGTTGTGAGGAGAAAGTTTGTGTGCACGTACCTGTGTGCGTGCGTACATGCGTCCGTGCATGGGTATACTTGATCATCTACAGGAACGACTAGCTCATCTGCGGGAAATATGGATGTAGTTTAAAACAGTTAGGTTATCTCCAGTCCACCAGGACATTTTAATAGTTGAAACAAGGTCTTTACCAATATTCCTAAGTTTAGGATGTGACTTTTAAATCAGGATTGCAACAGTGGCAAATAAAACAGACTAATATGTTATTCTTTAAGCTAAAGGTAATGTTAAGAAAAAGTGAGTTCGGGTTTGCGATAAATAAGCTGACATTTCTTTCTTCTCACAATTATGTGCTTATTATCTCTTCATATTGTCATACTCCCACTCTGGTTGAGACAAGTTGGAAAATAAAAACACCCCGTGCAGTCAGCAGCTCCAGAGACAAACGTTATAACTGCAATTTCAGACACGAACATAGTCTTCAGATAGAAATATTTACATGCATTTAGAGATAAATAGGCATGTTATAACATACAGCAGTTTCTGTTTCAAGGGATTTGGAAGGAACGTTCGACTTCATCTGGGACTCGAAGGCCATGTGCGCTGTTGATGTTCGAGACAGACCCGAGTATGTATGCAATGTACTCGTTTGTTTCAGTTGAATAAGAAAATGGTTTGTGTGGCCCAATTACTTTATTATTCTCTGCCCAGAGAAAGTTTGCTAAACTGGTGCCTTTTGCAGCTCAACACTTTTTTATATTATAACTTTCGGCATTTCCAAGGCAAGAAGTTGGTTCAAACATATATATATATGACGATTCCGAGTGATACAGGGCTCCTTGCTTGCCCTAAGATGCAACAAGGATGGATATTTGGGATGGTTGCTTCTTACTGTGATTATTTCTGTGATTATTTCATTATTTATGATAATAAGTGCAAATAATTATGTCGTTGTAAGTTGAGAACATTTTGTAATTTTAAAGAAACACGTGTGTTTGTTATTTTCATACTTAAAGTGTTCCGCTTGAGTTTATGTTATTGACAATACAAGCGTAGATATGCTGTGCGCTGTGCTGCACGTCTTAGTGACTGATGTCTTTGTACTCCCAGCTACTTGAAAGTCATCCGACGGGTGATGGGACCAAAGGGTACGATGATGCTGGAGTTTCCTAAGAACATTTTTCCAGGTAGTTTGGTTATAAGTCTTTCGATGAGTTATAACACCGATATATATCCATCCACGTCATTTTTAATTCCAATACTAAAATGGAACAATCTGGTCAAAGACGCCGTTCCAACCCGGGCCTAGATTTTCGAAACGATCGTAGCCCTAAAATTATCGGAAAGTTATCGTAAGCAAATCGTAGGCTATCGTAGCATATTTTCGAAACTATCGTAGCCTTAAGATATCTTATTTTTGAACGTAAGTTGTTAAGATTTATCTTAGCTAAGATCGTTTCGAAAATCTAGGCCCTGATCTTAAGGGAATGCATATTTGTGTGTGTGTGTGGGGGGGGGGGGGGGGGGGGGGGGGGGGGTTCAACGCCACACTCAATATTCCAGCTATATGACGGTCCACTCATCCGGGTTACAATGACATACATCCAGAGAATCTGAGCACCCGATCCCTCTAGACAAGCATGGGTTGGTGATGACCAGTTCTAACACGAATCTCCACGGAGTTAAACCAAGGGACGGAGCAAAGAACAAATGCATAAGATCGAATCAGTGTGACTGATCATTTATATTCTATCGTTTGTGCTCGAATGTCCTAGATACACAAGACCGGTCCAAGAAGGGCTGTATGTGAGTGGGTAAACCTAGGCTTGGTTTATTTCAGGTGCACCCTATCATTTCACTGAGGAACAGTTGAAAGATATTTACGGTAACACTATATCTATAAAGGTCATTTGAGAAGCTGATCTCAGTCAAAATGTGCTTAGTCATGTTTAAGAATGTGTATAAATCCTTAACGGAAAAGACATTTGGTGTATTCTATCTAAACACGTTTAGTGTCTTTACACATGAAAAGAGCTATCGTCTCTACCTAACCACCTATAACCACACAACATCCCCATAATCTAAACATGTTAAGAATTTAAACACGTTTAAAAATCTTAAGAATTTAAACACATTTAAACATCTTTAGAATATTGATATGTTTAATTTTTGTTTTGACCTAATTATTTCAACATTTTGTGACAAGGAATGTGTTAAGGTATGGGTTACGGATCTAAACACATTTTACAGTGTAGTATCAACGAAGACCGTGTTCGTGTTGACTTAGGACTTCATTCTCTTTGTTCTTTGTGCGACGTTTCTGTGCAGGTGCGAGTACATTTGTCAAGTACCTGTTTCCAAACGTCACTCCGAAAGAATAAAGAAGTTGAAATCAATGTCAGCTCAATCTTCATCAGCAGTGACTATAATTACAATAATGTTTGAAGCGCGTCCTTCTTAGATTTCATACCAACATTAGACAGAGTATGTTTTTATGCCGCTTTTAGCAATCATCCAGCCATATCACGGCGCGGGGAACCAAGACTAGATATGAGATACAGTCCAAATACCTCTCACCTCAAAAATAAAAACTCTATCGGTTTGTCCCTTAGTTCCATGGACCAGAGCCTGTAGTTCAGAACTGTGCTGTAAAACCTTTGGTACGAATTTTGTTTTCTTTCGTGGGCGCTGAGGCGAGAGGGCGAGTTTGATATCATAATGAAATTCTTATATCCTCCCAATCAACTACTTATTTTTATGAAATTGAGATCTTAAATTAACCTCATGACAAAAACCAACTCATCATATTTTGATTGATTGTTTTTGCCTTAACCGAATGCAATACGCTTTGTTGTTCACCAAGGCGACATCTGCGATGTGGAATACCAGGACCAATACGAATTCGAGCCTTACAAAACCTTCCACGGGGATATGGACGAAGAAGGGCAACCTCTGAAGAAGAAAGAGGAGGGAGAAGAGGGGGAAGAAGAGGAGTCAATTGTTATTGTTCTTCTTAATTATTATCTGAAGAAGAGGGAGTGATGTATGTCTTCTCCTCAGTGTGGTCTGTAAACAACTCACAATGAGGCAGGGTGCAGTCAGTGCTGTAGTCATAGGGATATTAAGCCTGACTACCGTCATCCGAGCACATCGGAAGCAGATGAACGTATTTGATATGTTAATGTCTTAGAGCACTAGGCTGTGGTCAACGTGCAGTCCTTGCTTAAATGAACTCTTTGTTTTATAGTTTGTCTGTCGTCCCATATATTCTGGAGTACATTAGTCTAACATTCAATGATTGCCTTAGTTTGAAACATACAATGTCACAGTTTCGCATATGGTACTTAGTGATATGTGTTTGTCTGTGTAATCATATACTCTAGTATATATCAGTCTAACATTCAATGATTACCTTAATTAGTAACATACATTGTCACACATACGGTACTTAGTGCAACGTTTATAGGCAGACTAAACATGGGCAACAGATTATAGAGATGACATCACACTGTTGTGACTATTCCTGTCTTAACCTATGTGTCATGTTAGTTAAAAAGTACTAGTAGCATGATTATATATATATATATATATATATATATATATATATATATATATATATATAAGTATATATATATATAAGTATATATATATATAAATATATATAGTAGACCGTTATCTGTTCGCGCTCTCTCTCTCTCCCTCTCTCTCTCTCTCTCTATATATATATATAGAGAGAGAGAGAGTGAGGGAGAGAGAAAGAGAGAACAGAATATATTTAGTCAAGAGAATTTGCATTTTGGAAACAGTTATCGAGTTGACAAGTTGATAAGTTAAATAAAACATTACACATGAAGATATGTATTACTTATCTGTTTAATGGATCCTTATAAGGCATCTGTATTGCAGAAAAATATTGCACTGTACGAACTCTGGAATGAGTGGTTAGTTAAAATATCCAAAAGGAGTACAACGGAATCCTCAGGAAATAATAATATTGCAGATTCAGCAAAGCATACTGAGACACTGTGAAAGCGCACAATCGACTTTAAAACTCGAAATCAGTAAAGCGTTATTTTGCTCAAGTCCAGCTCCCAACACATCAGATGAGATTCGAACCCTAACGACGACATTGTTGTGTTTGATTATCGCATGCCTAAACACCAGGAACAACTTCATTTGATTTTTTTAGCCAAATATTTAAAAAATCGAATATGCGTGGTTCCCTGTTGGTTCGCACAGAAGGCTTAGCGCTACAAATTTGTATCATATCCGGTTATAAGTGCTCATGTGTCGCGCCGTTAATTATGAATCCAAATAATATTGGTTGCTTTGTTATTTTAAGCCGCACTCAGCAATATTCCAGCTATATGACGGCGGTTTCTAAATAGTCGAGTCTGGACCAGACAATCCAGTGATTGATATCATGAACATCGTTGCACGCAATTGAGATCGATGACATGCATCAACCAGGTCAGAGAGTCTGACCACCCCATCCCGTTCGTCGCCTCTTACGATAAGCATAGTCGCCTCTACGGCAATCATGGTTGCTGAAGACCCATTCTACCCCGGATCTTCAAGGGTCTCCTAATAATGAAGACATGTAAGACAATAAAGGGGAAATTGAAATCCGATGTCATGAATACCTTCCTCTACTTCACGGTCGCTGTTTTAACGCTGTCGACGCTTTGACACTGTAACAATGTTAGAGTCCGCAACGGCTTCCGCTTTTGTATTCATTACAGTCACGTGACATCTCATCTGTCGTGTCTCCCGATGCACTTGAACTAACTTGGGACTAACACGTGTTGGACGTAACCATACGGAACTCATTTAGAGACAGGTTAAAATCTGATGATATTTTGAGCATTTTCGACTCCTTTTTAGATTTGATACTTTTAGATATTGATAAAGCAGCCCCAGTATTTCCTAATCCATTTGGACTGCTGTAAACAGTGTGAGACGATCTTGTACTACGTGAAAGAAAAGTTGCAGGTCTGACAAGAAATGTGAATATTTTAGTTACGAAAGAAATAGGCTCTTGTCTGTCTACAGGTGTCATAAAGATCCAGTTTCGTTGTAAAGATATATAGAGGCAAGAAATAAGTACATATCAGTGTTAACCATAATAAGTTCTTGTAACATCATATAGCTGGAATATTGTGCGACGTTAAACAACAAACAAACAAAAGGAACAGTTGAGGATGAAGGTATGGATTTACATGACATTGACGAAGGTATTCATGATATTACTTAGTTTAAATAATGTTCGATTCTCCGATTGCTGAAGATGAAACAGAAGAATGAGTAAACGGTTTGAAATATAACAATTCTGAAGGTACTTATGAGTTAATTGAGTTCTTCCATAGTTGCTTTGAGTTGTTAATGCCATCCTTGTAAGTATTACTAACTTGGGGAAATGGTCAAAATTTTACAAACATTTTATTACGTTACATGCCTCATATTAAGAATTGGAAATTATGAACTTAGGAAATATTACAATTAACGTACCTCGTTCCATTATCTTTAACCTGCCAAGGCTCGAACCGACACATCGGACAGGACCAGTATCTCTCATTGTGCTGGTCAGATAGTGAGTGAGTGAGTGAGTATGGTTTTACGCCGCTTTTAGCAATATTCCAGCAATATCACGGCGGGGGACACCAGAAATGGGCTTCACACATTGTACCCATGTCGGGAATCGAACCCGGGTCTCGGCGTGACGAGCGAACGCTTTAACCACCAGGCTACCCGACCGCCCGCTGGTCAGATAGAGTTCAGCGAACAATTGTTTAAGATGCTCCATTAAATAGAACTGACACGCTTTTCTTGTCAGCAATTCCAAAACTAGAAATTGTACTTACTTTGAAAGAATTATGCCTAAAACATAAAACAATTGTAAATTTTCATGAGACCATGGCACACTTTCTTTGACAGTTGCCATTGTCTCACAATAAAAATTGGCAGGTATTTGAATATTCCTTGATATAAAATGTTTCAATTCTTTGTAATGAAGGTTGCGAATATGAATACCATTCTGTGATGGTTTGTGTCCGGTAATAAACAGTGCGTCAGAAGTACATACCTACTTAATATATATCATACCCTAAACGTAACAAATACAATAGCCTTTTGCATCAACGTGTATGATTGAAGTAAGACACCTGGCAATGTTTAATATCATTATGCAAAATTCTTTAGAAAGACCCATACTGACTCATTATACATATTGTTATATATATGATATGCTGACGGGCGGAGGTCAGCTTTCTTTATAAACAAAGAACACAAGAACCCTATTCTAACAAAGAGGCCGCCTCCGTGGTGTAGTGGATAGAGTGTTTGCCGAGAGAGCGAAAGGTCGGTGTTCGATCCCCTGGCTGCGTCATACCAAGAGACGTTGTTGTTCCGCTGCTTGGTGCTCGTGGGATTTGCTGGACATTGACATTACACTTGATATTGCAATGCCTGTATGCTGGCACGGACAATGGTTGGTTGGTTGTTTAACGCCGCGCTTAGCAATATTCCAGCTATATGCCGATGGTCTGTAAATAATCGAGTCTTGACCAGACAACCAGTGATTGATATCATGAGCATCGATCGATGACATGCATCAACCACCCGATCCCGTTAGTCGCCTTTTACGACAAGCATAGTCGCCTTTTACGACAAGCATAGTCGCCTTTTAGGCAAGCATGTGTTGCTGAAAACCTATTCTACCCTGGATCTTCACGGGTCTCACGGACAAAAGAGTTCAGAATAACATACTCCGTATGTCAATACGTGTAAGTTACAACATATTTTTCGATAGAAAAAGTACTAGAAAGGGTTTTTTTCTAAAGTAGCTATTTTAGATGGATAGATATCTTGTATGCCGTGCTTATATATGTCTATAGCGCATCTGAAACGACCAGCACTCGCTATACGTCTAAAATAATTCGTGTGCCTATTCGTTGTATATTTTATCCCTTTTTTTGGTGTGAAAATCAATATATCAATATATCAATTCATCTTTGATCTAATCTCTGTATTTTTGGACAAATGTTATCTTGTTTTTGAAAGGCATTTAGGAGTGATACACATAAGGAAGAGAATTTATGTATGTCAACTTCTTTATTATGAGGAACACAACGTTTCGGTGTATGTGCTTACTCCTTCATCTGGCGAAACGTTGTGTTCCTCATAATAAAGAAGTTGACATCCATAAATTCTCTTCCTTAAATGTTATCTTGTTTCAAATGAAACAGCTGTTTTGTACTTGTCCCAATCTATTGGCTCGATGTCGGGGTTCAACACACCAACAAGAAGCACATTTAATGTTTATGATATTTATTTGACTTCTTCGTTTTTGATACGGCCCCCTTGACATCGGGTAGGAAGGCGTCACTCCGCTTGCCGGCAGTCAGTGGGACCCGCAGCCGATCACACCGAACTTATCGTCAGGTTAGTGAGAATAACGCTGGTACACTGATATACTTAAGGTCATGTCATGTAATTTCAGTTAAGTAGATGCCTCACTACGTGCCGCCCCATTATAACGAAATATGGCGATGAAGTTTTATAATGTTATTATAAATTCATTGTCCGCACAAGGCGTGTTGTATGCCTGGGACCAAGACATGCCGCGATGACTGAGCAGGAAGCCTGTCGGGAAGACTCGGGATTCTCCGTCAGAACGGGCCGCGTTATGCGTGACGTGAACTATATACATATGACCTGTTAACCGCCTGACGCTCGGCATTAAGGGGATAAAACAAGAACCGGTGCGCGCGCGCACGCATACACACACACACACACACACACGCACGCACACACACACACACACACGCAGAGACATACAGACACACACACACACTCACACAGACAGACAGACACACACACACGCAGGCAGACACACACACACACACACACTTTATGTCTATTGTGCGAGTTAACATTGCAGCTTTTCATGCAATAATTTCCGTACATTTCGCCACTGCCAATCACTTTTCGTTATAACAGTTTCTTTATATTTACTATATTGCTGTAACAGTACAGGCACATCGTCCGCACATGTTAGTAATAATCAACTGGCGTTATGTACAGAAATCATAGATAAAATATTCAACCATACACGAAATGGAGGAGTCCACTGATGCCTACAGTCTAAAACAAACATTTATATGCTTCAGTGGTTTTACATGTGATACCCTGCTACCTCTCTGCAGAGTTGAACTGGACCATTTTAGTGTACTATTGCCTGCAGTGACAAATGACAAACACTAGCAAATGATATTTAGTGCTTTTTCTTTATTCGTGCATTTCTTCTGATATTTCATACACCATACATCATACATCATCCATAGTTTCATTTATCATATTTTATGTACATTATGATTCAAACATCACATTCAAACTCCAATTTTATCACACATCTTACATTATCCTCATATACATTTCATTCAGTTTCATTTATCATATTCCATGTACATTATATACATATCAGACTTACATTCATCATATATCATCTCATACATCATCCATATGTATCATTCATTTTCATTTATCATATTTCATGTACATTATATACATATCAGTCTTACATTCATCATATATCATCTCACACATCTCTAACATGCCAATCTTACTTACTTACTTATATTGGAGATTTTACGTGCGCTTTCCGACTGTAAGCGTATGTCGCACACGGGCCCGCCAGGCCATTTAATGTGTTTCCGAAAGGGGGAAAAGTGAGTTTGTGCAACCCAGGAGGGGGGCTTTAGGGGTTGCTTATATAGTAATTTTGAAATTTTGAGATTTGGAAAGAATGCCAACAGTGGGTGGGGGACGAACTAAGGGAGCTGTGTGTGTTGGGTGGTTGTTAGATAAGGTAGTTTTGGTTTTAATATTTTATTTGTGGTTTAAATGCGACTAATTAGTCCTGTTTTTATTAGGTATATGCCTAAGGCTTTGAATCTTTCTAATTTATTTGGTGGATTTAGGATTGATTCTAGTGTAAGTCCGGTTTTAAGATTTAGGGTGGTCTGTAGTGTTGTTCGGTGTGTTTGGTAGTGTGTGCAGTGAATGAGTACGTGTTCTGGTGTTTCTTGTTGTTTGCAATGTGGGCAGTTTCCGGTGCTGTGTAGATTAGCTATTTTACGGTGATTATTTAGTTTGGTATGGCCTGTTTGTAGTTTAGTAATTATTCTGTCGATTTTTTTGGATGGGTGTAGTATTTTTGGTTTATTTAGGGTTTTTTTTTAGTACTTTCCTGATTTGGCTATTTGAGTTTTGGTATATATTTTGCCATTTTTTGTTGATTTTTTTGTTTAGTGACACTTTTGATTTCTGATTTTGAGCTGGGTAAGTTTAAGCTTATTTCTGGGAGTTTAAGGGATTATTTGCTGCTTTATCTGCCTTTTCATTTCCAAAGTTTCCTACGTGGGCGGGGATCCAAATGAACTCTATTTGTTTACAGACCTTGGTTAAGTTGTTTGAGCTATTGAGTATTTGATTTATTAGTTAGGGGCGGTTTTTAGTGTTTTTATTTTTGAGGGCTTGTAGTCCACTGAGGGAGTCGGTAAGGATGAGGTTTTTTGGTGTTTTTTAGATTGCTGATTGCGTAGTGCTGAGGCCATGCCCATTAGGTCGGCCGTGAATATGGATTGGTTGTTTGGGAGTCGGTAAGATTGTGTGTTTTTGGTTGGTTGTGCGATGTGGACTCCGAAACCTGTGTGTTTTGAGATCGGATCTGAGGATCCGTCTGTGTATATGTGACACCAATTTGGCCAATTTTCATGTATGAATGCTAGTGTGGTGGTTTTAGCGATGTTAGGATCGGTCTGTTTATTTAGTGTATCGGCTAGTGTTGTGTCTATTTTTGGTATTTTAAGTTTTGGAGTGAAGATATTGGATGATTTATTGTTTTGTTTAAGATTATTTATTTTGTGTTCATTTAGGTAATTGGTTATTCTTTGGGAAATTGGAGTAAGTAATGGATGTTTCCGGGCTAGGGCTTGGTTTCTAGGGCTAATATTGTTTTTTATTAAGTTTTCTATTAGAGGGTTTGATTGGGACCCGGCCTAGACGTTTAGGGTAAGTTGTTCCCTACATAGTTTAAGTGGCATTTCTCCTGTTAAGGCCTGGAGTACATGCCAATCTTCGATAACTATATTTTATACTGGAAAATTTCCTTCTCAAAGTTTATCATCAATTACTTTAAAACATTATTCTTCCACTCTCATTTTACAGAAAATCCATATTTCCTGCTCCGGTTATCAAAGTACAATACCATCTAAGAAAATAAATTTATACAAATGTCAAATATTTTCCCAATCCCAGTAACATTTCTAAGTCATTAATTAGTCTGTGTTTACAGTGTAGGCATTAGCGAACACTAAGTAGAGTAGACCACTTGAGTGCAGAGGTGCGTGAAACAGTGTGTACACTAAAACAACAACTTTTGTAGGCATTAGTCATTGTAGGCATTTGTCACTGTAGGCATTAGTGGACCTAGCCCACATGTGATACCCTGCTACCTCTCTGCAGAGTTGAACTGGACCATTTTAGTGTACTATTGCCTGCAGTGACAAATGACAAACACTAGCAAATGATATTTAGTGCTTTTTCTTTATTCGTGCATTTCTTCTGATATTTCATACACCATACATCATACATCATCCATAGTTTCATTTATCATATTTTATGTACATTATGATTCAAACATCACATTCAAACTCCAATTTTATCACACATCTTACATTATCCTCATATACATTTCATTCAGTTTCATTTATCATATTCCATGTACATTATATACATATCAGACTTACATTCATCATATATCATCTCATACATCATCCATATGTATCATTCATTTTCATTTATCATATTTCATGTACATTATATACATATCAGTCTTACATTCATCATATATCATCTCACACATCTCTAACATGCCAATCTTACTTACTTACTTATATTGGAGATTTTACGTGCGCTTTCCGACTGTAAGCGTATGTCGCACACGGGCCCGCCAGGCCATTTAATGTGTTTCCGAAAGGGGGAAAAGTGAGTTTGTGCAACCCAGGAGGGGGGCTTTAGGGGTTGCTTATATAGTAATTTTGAAATTTTGAGATTTGGAAAGAATGCCAACAGTGGGTGGGGGACGAACTAAGGGAGCTGTGTGTGTTGGGTGGTTGTTAGATAAGGTAGTTTTGGTTTTAATATTTTATTTGTGGTTTAAATGCGACTAATTAGTCCTGTTTTTATTAGGTATATGCCTAAGGCTTTGAATCTTTCTAATTTATTTGGTGGATTTAGGATTGATTCTAGTGTAAGTCCGGTTTTAAGATTTAGGGTGGTCTGTAGTGTTGTTCGGTGTGTTTGGTAGTGTGTGCAGTGAATGAGTACGTGTTCTGGTGTTTCTTGTTGTTTGCAATGTGGGCAGTTTCCGGTGCTGTGTAGATTAGCTATTTTACGGTGATTATTTAGTTTGGTATGGCCTGTTTGTAGTTTAGTAATTATTCTGTCGATTTTTTTGGATGGGTGTAGTATTTTTGGTTTATTTAGGGGTTTTTTTTAGTACTTTCCTGATTTGGCTATTTGAGTTTTGGTATATATTTTGCCATTTTTTGTTGATTTTTTTGTTTAGTGACACTTTTGATTTCTGATTTTGAGCTGGGTAAGTTTAAGCTTATTTCTGGGAGTTTAAGGGATTATTTGCTGCTTTATCTGCCTTTTCATTTCCAAAGTTTCCTACGTGGGCGGGGATCCAAATGAACTCTATTTGTTTACAGACCTTGGTTAAGTTGTTTGAGCTATTGAGTATTTGATTTATTAGTTAGGGGCGGTTTTTAGTGTTTTTATTTTTGAGGGCTTGTAGTCCACTGAGGGAGTCGGTAAGGATGAGGTTTTTTGGTGTTTTTTAGATTGCTGATTGCGTAGTGCTGAGGCCATGCCCATTAGGTCGGCCGTGAATATGGATTGGTTGTTTGGGAGTCGGTAAGATTGTGTGTTTTTGGTTGGTTGTGCGATGTGGACTCCGAAACCTGTGTGTTTTGAGATCGGATCTGAGGATCCGTCTGTGTATATGTGACACCAATTTGGCCAATTTTCATGTATGAATGCTAGTGTGGTGGTTTTAGCGATGTTAGGATCGGTCTGTTTATTTAGTGTATCGGCTAGTGTTGTGTCTATTTTTGGTATTTTAAGTTTTGGAGTGAAGATATTGGATGATTTATTGTTTTGTTTAAGATTATTTATTTTGTGTTCATTTAGGTAATTGGTTATTCTTTGGGAAATTGGAGTAAGTAATGGATGTTTCCGGGCTAGGGCTTGGTTTCTAGGGCTAATATTGTTTTTTATTAAGTTTTCTATTAGAGGGTTTGATTGGGACCCGGCCTAGACGTTTAGGGTAAGTTGTTCCCTACATAGTTTAAGTGGCATTTCTCCTGTTAAGGCCTGGAGTACATGCCAATCTTCGATAACTATATTTTATACTGGAAAATTTCCTTCTCAAAGTTTATCATCAATTACTTTAAAACATTATTCTTCCACTCTCATTTTACAGAAAATCCATATTTCCTGCTCCGGTTATCAAAGTACAATACCATCTAAGAAAATAAATTTATACAAATGTCAAATATTTTCCCAATCCCAGTAACATTTCTAAGTCATTAATTAGTCTGTGTTTACAGTGTAGGCATTAGCGAACACTACGTAGAGTAGACCACTTGAGTGCAGAGGTGCGTGAAACAGTGTGTACACTAAAACAACAACTTTTGTAGGCATTAGTCATTGTAGGCATTTGTCACTGTAGGCATTAGTGGACCTAGCCCACGAAATTCACGATCGTGTTGAAGTAAATTGAAAATTGCCCGGCCCATTTTCCAAAGCTGGATACACACCCGTAATCATCCATCAATAAACTTGCGCTTTGTCTTCACCGAAAATGCATAGTGCTTCTAATAAAAAACAATATCAAATAAAAGGGACAAAACTTTTCCTTAACCATGAGCAAATATTTAGCTATACGCTCCGTGAAGATCCGGGGTAGAATAGGTCTTCAGCAACCCATGCTTGCTGTATAATAAAAGGCGACTACGCTTGTCGTAAGAGACTACTAACGGGATCGGATGGTCAGGCTAGCAGACTTGGTTGATGCATGTCATGGGATCTCAATTGCGTGGATCGATGCTCATGATGTCAATCATTGGATTGTCTGGTCCAAACTCGATTATTTACAGACCGCCGTCATATAGCTGGAGTGCGGCGTTAAACAACAAACAAACTAATACCATCAAATACAATCATATGATGATACCAAGCGTTCGCTATAAGGGGAGCACATCCTGCCCCATCGGTAGCCCCTGTCACAAACACATGCAAAGGCAACTGAAATGTTCACCTGAATTTTTTTTTCTTTCGGGCTGTCTAAACTGTAATATACGTTTTGTAGAGAGTAACTGGATGTGACCACTTTCAATAAAGCATACAAAAACGAAATAATGATAAAAAGATACAAATGTAAGATGTAAGGTTATTACTGAGTTCACCTGTTTAATGTGTTTTACAGGGGAACTATTAGGTTGGAACAATGTCGAAAAAGGAACGGGTCCAACCTGGCCATTGGCACGTGTCTGAAACTCCGGAGGGAAGGCTTGAAGACTGGTTAACGGCATGGGACAAGGGCCAGTGGGACTTCACCTACATGGAGCCCGGCCCGTAGGTATACATAGGGTAGAGAATTTCGGCCAGTGGGACTTCACCTACACGGAGCCCGGCCCGTAGGTATACATAGGGTAGAGTAGGTCAGGCACTTGGACTTTACCTACACGGAGCCACTGGGTACACATAGGATAGAGTAGGTCGGCCATTGGCACGTGTCTGAAACTCCGGAGGGAAGGCTTGAAGACTGTTTAACGGCATGGGACAAGGGCCAGTGGGACTTCACCTACATGGAGCCCGGCCCGTAGGTATATTTAGGGAAGAATAGGTCGGACACTGGTCGGAAACTGGGACTTCATTCACACGGAACCTGACCATTCTTAATTTGGAAAAGGTTTAAATTCGAACTCAGATTTTAAACCTGTTTACACATAGAGTATTTGTAAAATAAATTACAGTTTCGATGTTGATAATTTAATTCTTTTTTTTATGCAGGAATCTTGCGAAATACTTTGAGAAAGTTACCGAGGGACGGAAAGGTCTGAAAATCCTTGTCCCCCTCTGTGCCACGACCTATGACCTCATCTGGTGAGTGTTTCTACTGGACATTGCACCAACTCAACACAAAGCTCCAACACAGTACAAACATACACCACACGTGTTGATCAAAACATGAAACACATTAAACTGTTTGATTTGAACAATCATTCTTATTCCTGGAAATGTCGGATATGACAAAAATCACTCGGTGTGAAAGTAAAGCCATGGTTGTACTCAATGGTCATGTTAATCCCAGTCACGGGTGGCCCAGTCGTCACTTTCGCCGCGATTCGCTGTGCAGAGTGGCGTCCCTTGGGCACGCCAGAAACCTATGATTGTGGGTTGGAATCCCGGTTCGCCTCGGTTATGTTTCTTAGTTTGTCCACACCATACCCGTGCTCGTGGGTTTCACCGAAGTGGTAAACATCTGAGACCTGCATCACTTCGGGCTTTCCTCCCACATTAAGCTGACACGCCGCGATATAACTGTAAAACTATGAAAAGCGGCGTTAAACCCAACTCGCTCACTCATTTTTCAGCTGTTCTGTCATTTTCTGCCGTTTTCTTTTCAATAAAGAAGAGATCACAATTGCGCAAATGTTCGATGTGCAGAGTTGCGCCCATTAGTCAAGAAAGGATCCGCTGGTCACGGGTTTGGAACCCACATTCTTACTGATTACGACATAGGGTTTGTTTTACTCGAACTTATACGACAAGTTTACTTCGGGATTTCATCCAACATTAAGCCAACTCACTGTGAAAAAACTAAGACACTTTAAGATTTATTTTAACCCTACTCAATCACTAAATGATCAAAGCGTAAGTGTATTAATAACTGACACTTCAATATTGATTTGATTTTATATTAAACCGTCGAATGCACCGTTCAATAGCGAGTAAAGGAATTCAGCACAAATATGTCATCTTATGCTGTTGTGCTAAAGGTTTTAGCTGTGTTTTTAATTTTAGGACTATCTAGCATAAAGGGTTCTTTGACCTTTCATCACTCTGCTCAGGGTCTTTGAGCAGGGACCCTTTGTAGCAAATAACAGTACAATTATGTGGGCTCTCTGATATCGCATCTTCCGCAGGCAAGGGTGTTAACTGACATTAAACGTCCAGTTTCCAACCTTGCCGAACTTGGCTGGAATTTCTCAGCTCGATTGTAGCACCACCAGTGCTTATTACGAGTTATGTCCCTTCCTTGTCCCCAATACTTACCAATCAGATTCAACCTCTCATATCGCTTGCAATTGCTTCAAACAAAATGGCGCCCAGTCATGACTGATTTTCATTGTATTAAGACGGACGGGCTTTACCTTGCGAAGTGTATCAAATCACTTGAGCAATCTTGATTAAAAACATGAAAAGATTTGGAAAATATGTGTCGACGCTTAGTTGACGGTACACGTGCTCTGCAAATCCTGCAATCGAACGAATTCGGCACGTCAGTTGCCTTGTTGTGTATGAACCGGATGTCGATATCGTTACGGGATTTTGATTGGACTATGCACAGACACTCGTTGGTCCAGCCAAAATGTAACTCCATAATTCCAGCCTAGCTCAAGCTTTTAGAGCCAGTTAACTCCCTTGCCTCGGGAAAATGCTGATATCGATGACGTTTTTGTTTCGTTTTCGTTTTTGTGTTTAGGTTATGTGAGCAAGGTCACTCCGTGGTTGGCGCTGATCTGGCCGAGAGCGCCGCACAGCGGATCTTCAAACAGTACAGGCAGGAACCAATCATTGAAGACGTCCCCAGTATCGCCGGGAAACTTTACAAGGTAATGACACCAGTCAGAAGAAAAGTGATACGCAAGCTGTTTGTTTCCAATGTCACAATATGTTTCACTCATGCCTGGGCAAATAGTGAAACAAGAAATAACATATATAAAGTAATCAAATGCATTTTGCCCCGAACCTGCTTTATCAAAGATAGTAACCGAGTCAAATTAAGAGGTTGGAAGAGCTAGAGAAACACGTGACCTAACTGCGTCACAGTGGAATACTTGTTTTATTTCTGTACAACATTTTGATCAAGAATGCATCTCGCTAAATAAACAATTCCTTCCAGTAAACACTGTATTGTGTTTTTGTTACACAGAGCCTATACTCTAGCTGTTTATGCAATGATCGCTTGATGGCTGCGTCTAACACAATACAGGCACTGCCCATTGGCCGAGAATGTGCTGACTCGTATGTGGACAAATAAAATTAGTACAAAACATCTATTTGACAATCACAAGACACTTGGACGTTTACAAAACAATAAAAGGTTCTGTATATTAATTGCATTCTTTTTCTCCTGACAGAATGATTCTGGTACCTTCAAATATTACGTTGGAAATTTCTTACGCTTCAGCGAGTGAGTATAACACTGCCATTGTGATATAGTGGGTGGGTGAGTCTGGTTTTACGCTGTCTTTGGTAATATTCCAGCAAGATCATTGCAGAGGAAATTTGCTTCTCAATGTACTCGCGCGTGTGTGTGTGTGAGTATGTGTGGTGCGGTATGGTGGGTGGGGGTTATGAAAGCTTTGCGTTTTTGAGTGTGTGCTTGCATGCGTGGTGTGTCTCTGTGTGTGCCGTGTGTCTCATTTTAATACTAACACATATGTAAATGTACGTTAAATACACACCTGGGTTATCTCCAGTCTACTTGGAGAAGTGCGTGCGTGCAGACTCGATCATCCACAGACCGCCGTCAAATAGCTGCAATATTGTTTAGTTCGGTGTTAAACGACAAACATGCACATGACTTCATATCGTCATATTCCTATTCTGGTTGAGACAGGTCGGAAAATGAAAACAACCCCTGCAGTGGCCGCTCCAGAAGTAAACCTGTCATTTCTGCAATTACACCGTCCTCAGACATATTTACATGCATTTAGAGATAAATAGGCATGTTATAACACACACCAGTTTCTGTTTCAAGGGATTTGGAAGGAACGTTCGACTTCATCTGGGACTCGAAGGCTATGTGCGCTGTTGACGTTCGAGACAGACCCGAGTATGTATGCAATGACTTAATTGTTTTAGTTGAAATATATACATATCAAATGGTTGTGCGGCTCAAGTATGTTATTATTTTCTGCCCAAACAAAGTTTGCTAAACTGGTGCCATTTGCAAAAATAAATTGTGTTAATATTTTTGGCATTCCCATGGCAACAAGTTGGTTCACATTTTGTATATACATATTGGAAAGTCTTCTTGAGAATTTATTAGGATTCCGGGTCAGAATAAGCCCCTAGCACATCTTGCTTCCCGAAAATGCGACAAGGATGGAGATTTGAGGTGGCCACAATGCTACTGTGATTATTACTTTTATTATAGGGGCGGTCGGGTAGCCTAGTGGTTAAGGCGTTTGCTAGTCGTGCCGAAGACCCGGGTTTGATTCCCGACATGGGTACAATGTGTGAAGCCCATTTCTGGTGTCCCCCGGCGTGAAATTGCTGGAATATTGCTAAAAGCGGCGTAAAAACATACTCACTAACTCATTTTTATGATAATATGTGCTTATATTTGTAAGTTGACACTTTCTGGTATTAAAGAATCGCGTGTTTTCGTTTTTTTCATATTTAAAGTCTTCCGCGTGGTTTCATATTATCGACTATACAGTTTCCTGTACTGCACGTCTTAGCGACTGATGTGTTTGTCCTTCCAGCTACTTGAAAGTCATCCGACGGGTGATGGGACCAAAGTGTACCATGATGCTGGAGTTTCCTAAGAAAATCTACCCAGGTAATTTGAAAATAAGTCTTTTTATTAGTTATAACACCGATATTTCTCCATCAACGTCATTCTTAATTCCAATTCTGAAGTGGAACAATGTGATCAAAGACACCTTCCCTCCTCTTTTCGATCATAAACCCAAGAGAGTGTATGAGGGTGGGGGTGGGGGTAGGGCGGGGTGTGTGGATGGGTAGGGGAGGGGGTTGGGGGTTTCACGCCACACTCATCTACATACCAGCAATATGTATTGCGTACCTCTGTATAATTGAGTCTGGACCAGACAATCCAGTGATTGACACCATGATCATCGATCCACGCAATTGGGATACGGTGACATGCATCAACCAAGTCAGCGAGCCTGGCCACCCGATCCCGTTTGTTGCCTCCTACGACAGGCATTGGCTGCTGAAGACCAATTCTACCCCGGACCTTAATGGGGTTACACCAAGGATCGGAGCCCAGTTTATCAAATAGAATTTTTTTTACATAAGATCGAATCAGTGTGACTGGTCATTTAAATTATTTCTTTTGTACTCGAATATCACTGCTGAAGATTAACAATACCAGTCCAGGAGGGGCTGTGTATGAGTGGGTAAACTTAAGCTTTGTTTCATTTCAGGAGCACCCTATCATTTCACCGAGGAACAGTTAAACGAGTTTTACGGTAACGACAATATATTTAAGGGTCATTTTAGAAGCTGCAGTATCAATGAAGACCAAGTTGACTTATATCTTCAGTTTTGTTCAGTGCGACGTGTTTGTGCAGTGCGAGTACATTTATCAAGCACCTGTTTCCAAACGTCACTCGGAAAGAATATAGTAGCTGAAATCAATGTCAGCTCAGTCCTCATCAGCAGTGACTATGATCACAATAATGTTTGAAGCACGTCCTTCTTAGAACTGATACAAACATGAGAGTGAGTGAGTAGGGTTTTACGCCGCTTTTAGCAATTCATCTAGACACATCACGGCGCTGGGAGCCAAGACGAGATATGAGATAGAGTCCAAAAACGTCGCACCCAAAAAGTCAAACTTCGGTCGGTTTATCTCTTAGTTCCATGTTCCAGATGCTGTAGTTGTAGATCTCTGTTGTCAAGGTACTAGTGAGGTTTTGGTATTGTTTTGTGTAGCTCGGGTAAGGGGAGAGGCGGATATTGATAGAAATGAAGCAAATCGGAGATCAATGAACCCCTTATTTTTGCGATCTAAACTATACCTTATAACGAACGCAGCGTCCGCCCGGAGAGCGGAACGTCCGGGGTTCGATTCCCGGCCGCGTCATACCAAAAGACGTTAAAAGATGGTACTTGTTGTTACCCTGTCTGGCGCTCGGCATTAAGGGGCTAAATCAAGGACTGGTCGGCTCGGGGTCAGTATACTGTGTCTGAGTGGGGTATTCGTGTTAAACTGCGGCATGGTATCTCAGTGAGCTAGCACTATAAATCGGCATCAGTCCGGACTAGTACAAGCAGCCACACACACACACACACACACACACACACACACACACACACACACACACACACACACAAACACACACATACAAACACACACACACACACACAAACACACACACACACACACACACAAACGTGCATGCACGTCGCTATATAAGTGCAATAATCTTGGACGCGACCTTATACCCAATTTCACCTCACCTCACCTCACCTATAACGAAAGCTAACTTATCATATTTTGATGAATGATCTTCTTAAAAACTAATTTGCCTTAACCGAATAAAATACGCTGTGTTGTTTTATTAAGGCGACATCTGCGATGTGGAATACCAAGACGAATCCGACTTCGACCCTACCATAGCCTACCACGGGGATGTGGACGACGAAGGACAACCACTGAAGGCGGAAGAGGGGAAGGAAGAGGCCACCCAGTCTAAGGAAGCGGAGTCCAAAAAGGAAAACACTGTGATTGTTCTACAAAATTATTTTTTGAAGAAGAGGGAGTAATGTATGTCTTCTCCTGACTGTGGCCTGTAAGCAACTCCCACAGAGCTCACGAGCCAGGGTGCAGTCAATTCTGTAGACATGGGGATACTGAGTCTGACTTCGTACTTAGAGCACATTAGAAGCAGATGAATATATTTGATATGCTTATATCTCAGTGGATAAGGCTGTGGTCAACTGGTAGTCTTTGTTTCAATGAAGTCTTTGTGTAGGGGAAGTCCGAGTAACTCTCCATTCGTTAAAAATAATGGAGCAGATGCCCCCCTACTTTTACACATTGACAAAATATTCTCTTGTGAAAAATATTTGAAAAATAAACCAGAACTCTTTGTAGACTGTATTTATACTGTGTGAGTCGCCCTTGCCTGATGCCATTCGTGACCAACTCGTGTTATTCCGGGACAAGCCGAATAGTGACTCGTGCCCCTCTCGTGGCCATTTTTGCAACCGGGTTCCGTCTTTGCGCAAACGGGCATACCTAAAACAATTGTCAACTCGTTGTGTAATGGTTCACACATATTTCCCCGTATTATATATATATATTAGATACAATTTAAAGCAGATCTGGACATGGTGACTTATACAGTATGTTTGAACACATTTAACTGTGTCTTGGGTATATTTTTAGATGCAAGACACATGTTAATTCAAATATTATTTCTGAGGGATTCTTTGACGAAGAACTTGAAATCATACGCGCATTCTGATTGGTTTGTCGTATTTTCGCACATAACATTCATCGATAGGGGGACGAGTCTTCTTGCAGGTTACGGAAAGGGGCGAGAGGTGACGAATGGCCTGATGCACGAGGAATACGTTCTTTGCCGCTGTTGCACCATACCTTTGTGTGCCGCCGTAGCTGACGTTGACAACTACACGTTCTCAAATCAAACAATGCGGGTTCCAACCCCGCTAGAGACAATATTTTCGAGAAAAAAAAATATGAAATTATTCACTTGTCAATAAATGTAAAACTTAATTCCGTCTATTCCAAGTGGAAATTATTTCAAATGTTGGTTCAAGATATTATATAATTCAATTCCTGAAAAATAATGGAGCGTTCAAAAATTAGAATGACATCACGTGTGTGTTTTAAGGTCAATTGAAGTCACCCCACCCGGCTGTGTTTGTCTGTATCGTAATCTATTACGGTATATATCAATCTAACCTTTAGTGAATAACCTGATAAGTAGCACACAATGTCACAGTTTCATATACGGTACTCAGTGCTTAGTTTATACGCAGATTGACCATGGGCAACAGATTATCGAGATGGGATCATACCTGTTCGTTGTGACTAATTCTTGTCTTAACAGCTTGTAACTGTATGTACGCAGTCGTAGTATCGCTTTTCTGGCTAGATGTATACAGAACAGAACATATAAAATCAAAATATTTTATTTTAGAAACAATTATCAAGTTGTTGTACAAAACATGTACATGTATAGTTAAATATAACATTACACATGAAGATATTTATGACTTATCTGTTTAATGAATCCTAATGGACCGCCTCCGTGGTCTTGTGGTAGAGTGTCCGCCCGGAGATCGGAAGGTCCGGGGTTCGATTCCCGGCCGCGTCATACCAAAAGACGTTAAAAGATGGTCCTTGTTGTTACCCTGTCTGGCGCGCGGCATTAAGGGGCTTAATCAAGGACTGGTCGGCTCGGAGTAAGTATACTGTGTCTGGGTGGGGTATTCATGTTAAACTGCGGCATGGTTTCTCAGTGAGCTAGCACTATAAATAGACATCAGTCCGGACTAGTACAAGCAGCCACACACACACACATACACACACACACACACACACGTGCATGCACGTTGCTAAATAAGTGCAATGATCTTGGACGCGACGTTAAACCCAATTTCACCTCACCTTAATGAATCCTAATAAGGTGCACTGTACAAACTTTAGAATGAGTTGTCAGTGAAATATTGCAGTTTCAGCAAAAGATACTGAGACACTGTGGAAACGCATGATCAACTTTAACTCGAAATCAGGAAAGATGTGTTTCTTGTGCTCAAGTTCATGAGATACGAACCCTAACGACGACATTGTTGTGTTTGAATATCTCATGCCTAAATGCACAGAACAACTTATTCTTTTTGTGGCCATTTTGGCGAAATGATTACAAAAATCGAATATGCCTTATCGCATTGTCTCAGTATACAACTATACTTGTGTTAATATTTACAAGATAAGGACACCAGCCATTTGGTCACTCCTGTTCAAATGACACATGAACACTCGCATAGTGAAACCATCACAAGTGAGTAAGGGAGTGAGGGTTGTATTGTGCAGCGTTTGACAATATCTCAGCCATATCAAGACAGGGACACAAAGAATGAGCCTCACACATTGTACCATGATGGGAATCGCGTCTCCGATGGGACGACCCAGCGCATTAACCACTAGGCTATTGGGGACAAGGTTCATAGACGATTCTATCAACTGGTGCATCAAATAGCTAACTAAGATATACTAAGAATGTGCACTTTGAATACTGATGCCAAGTGCACATTCTTAGTTATTTCACAACAAAGATGGTACTTATTGTTGCCCTGTCTGTCGCGCGGCATTAGCACATGAGACAAGTATTGGTCGGCCCGAAGACAAATTAATTGGTCTGAGTGGGGTATCTAAGTTAAACTGTGGTTATGTATAACAGTGGGCTAGCACTACAAAAGCGACAAAATCTGGACGAGTACAAGCAGCCCCACACACATTTGCATGCACGCGGCTATATAAGTGGCATAATCTTGAACGCGACGTTAAACCTCATTTCATTTAAACCTCGGGCGACCAGACCTAAAAAGTGACCTCACTGATCTCCTATTGAAATATAGCTCAATAAGCTTCATGTTTCACTCTGCAATCAAAGTTCATACATGCCGATTTAGCAATACAATATGGTTCTCCACGTTTTGCAACCAAGAGTCATCAGAAGATGACAAATTCCCCTGGCCCCAACAATAGGAAAAGGTCCCGTTCCAGCCCCTGGTTAATCAATGTACCTAGTTTGAAGGAAAAAAACATTCACGGTTTTCAAGTTATGCTCCGGAAACGAAATACGGACGGACAGGCGGACAGACAGACCGAATGGACACTATATCCCCTGGAGTACGTATTGCTAGGGGGAAATCGCAGCACTGTTCGTAATATGAGTACGGGTTACGATCGTTACGTATAATGATCGAAAGCTCAAAGTAAAGTACGTATTTCTATGGCAAGACTACACGTATTACGATTAATGGGTCGCGATACATTACGTAATACGATCATAAGATCTTGATACGGTATTGTTACGATCGTAAGATCAGGACACAGCACAAACTATGATCGTAAAGGCAAGATACCTTTCGTAAAACGTCCTTAAGACAACGATGTGATAAACAAGTTGTATCCTTGATCAAAGTATGATAAAGTATTCAAATGAAACAAATGTTATATTTGGGACAACACTTTCTGGTGAAGTACAGAATTCTCATACTTTTTTGGGTTGTGTCCCGTCCGGGATTCGAACCCACACAGAATATGTCGCCGAGGTAGCGACCTATATTTGCTGAGAGTGCATCAACCTTTTCAGTCGATGGGGGACGGGGTTGTGCATGGTGAAATGGGTCAGAAGGGGCCTCTGCACCAGCCAATGACAGCCTAGAGGGTCCAGGAAGGGGCTGCCCAATCATTGTGCTCTTAAGACCTTCTGTAGCTTTAATGTTCCCTATAGGAGGTCTTAAACCCACTCAGAGGTCTGAAGTGCACACAAGTCCTTTTAAGGCAGAGAGAAATAGAAGGGGTAACAGACAACCCTTCACATGTGATTATATCCGTGTTTATGCTTAGGTTGTAGCATTCGGAATAAGGGAGCTTGTCATGACTGATCACGTCTTTGTTTCTTGCAAAATGATTCATATATAAGTGTAAAATTTGAAAGTTTGGGCTCGAAAATACAGTACAGCACATTCATCCTCGACACATAAACTACATGTCATAAACCTCATGTGCAGATTGTGCATGAAACATCCTATCACGCAATGACACCACTGAGATGTGTTCTTTGGCCGCAACTAGTTTTGCCGAAGATAGTGTCACGTGATCACATAAGCTCCTGTCAATACTGGTTTAAGGACATAGCCCCTTTAAACCCCGTTGGCAGTTGGGCAGTAGAGCGCCATTTCGCGTGCCCGCCGCCATTGAGATCCGCAGTTCAGGTTGGTGAGAATAACGCTGTTTGACTGATATACCTTATGACATGTCCTGTAATGTCAGTTTTATATTTCCCGAACTATGTGCTACCCCATCATGACGAAATATGATGACGAAGTTTATTTATTTCGTTTTGAATTCATTGTTCCGTTAAGGCATGTTATAAAGCCTATACTTAGATGTGCCCGTATGATTGCGCAAGAAGCTTGTCGGGAAGACTCGGAATTCCCCGTGACCAATGACTTGCATCTTGTTGAATGCATTGTTCAAAAGCGTGTCAACGGAATTTCACAAGCAGTGTGCGAGGCGAACTAGTTAAGTGAACCAGGTGTTGGCAAATAGAACCTCGGTGACATATCAGACAGATTCATTCAGGCCTTGAGGAGTGCACCTCTGTCCGGAGAGCGCAAGGTCGGTGGTTCGATTCCCTTGACGTATCATACCATACGTGAAAGATGGTTCTTGTTGGTGTCCTGCCTGGCGCTCGGCATTAAGAGGAAAAACAAGGACTGATCGACTGGAGTCATTCTGTTTCTGAGTGGGGCATCCATTCTAAGCTGCGCCATGATATCTCAGTGGGCTGGACTTTGAAACCGGAGTAAGTACGCTTGTACAAGCACACCGCTAGACAAGAGAAATAATCTTGGACGCTATTTCACATTGCATCAACATATTGAGGAGATATTAAAACCTTGCGGTGAGTCGGTGAACATGAATGCATATGAATGAATATATAAACGGATGAATATGGGGCAGTGAATATAAGTGAACGAATATGGGTAATTGTATATAAGCAAATGACTACATAAGCGGATGAATATGAGGCAGAGAGTATAAGCGAATGAATATAAGGAAGAGAAAAAAACCGAATGAATATAAGGCAGTGAAAAGAGCGAATGAGTATGGGTCATTGTATATAAGCAAATACCTATTTTAGCGGATAAATATGAGGCAGTGAATATAAGCGAATGAATATGAGGCGGTGAATATGAGTGAATGGATATGAGGCAGTGAATATGAGTGAATGACTTTGAGGCAGTGAATATGAATGAATGAATACGAGGCAGCGAATGAATATGAGGCAGTGAAAGTATGCGAATGAATACGAGGCAGTGAATAGAAGCGAATGAATATGAGGCAGCGAATATAAGTGAATGGATATGAGGCAGTTAATATGAGTGAATGAATACGAGGCAGTGAATATAAGCGAGTTAATACGAGGCAGTGAATATAAGCGAATGAATATTAGGCAGTGAATATAAGCGAATGGATATGAGGCAGTGAATATGAGTGAATGGATAGTATACATAAACGGATGAATATGAGGCAGTGAATATAAGCGAATGGATATGAGACAGCGAATATAAGCGAATGGATATGAGGCAGTAAATATGAGGGAATGGATACGAGGCAGTGAATATAAGCGAATGAATATACTACTGTAGAGCTACGGTGACACACAATAGGTTTGGTCCCACATTGTGGCCACCTGCTCCTGACTACAGACAAGATGTGATACGAGCGGGGACGACTGTTCAACGTGAAACAGTATACGACTACACAGCCATCCGATGTTGTGTCGATTACTGAAAAATATGCCCCTTACAAATGCTGATGAAGGAATCTGATGGTTTAGCAACGATCTTGGTAGTAATTATAAAATAATCACCAGCGTTTCCTTCTGCATTTGTGTATAGAAATGTTTCATAAATACACTATATATATAAATGTGTTGAAGTAAAAATGGGAAATAAAGAGCCATTTTCAATAATCTGGATACTCAAGGATTGATATCATTGGCGGATTAAACAAAGTCCACAAATAGCCATTTTCAAAAATCTGGATACTCAAGGATTGATATCATTGGCGGATTTACACAAAGTCCACAAAGAGCCATTTTTCAAAAATCTGGATACTCAAGGATTGATATCATTAGCGGATTTACACATAGTCCACAAAGAGCCATTTTCAAAAATCTGGATACTCAAGGATTGATATCATTAGCGGATTTACACATAGTCCACAAAGAGCCGTTTTCAAAAATCTGGATACTCAAGGATTGATATCATTAGCGGATTTACACAAAGTCCACAAAGAGCCATTTTCAATTATCTGGAACTCAAGGATTGATATCATTAGCGGATTTACACATAGTCCACAAAGAGCCATTTTCAAAAATCTGGAACTCAAGGATTGATATCATTAGCAGATTAGTACAAACTCCACAAAGAGCCATTTTCAAAAATCTGGAACTCAAGGATTGATATCATTAGTGGATTTACACAAAGTCCACAAAAAGCCATTTTCAAAAATCTGGATACTCAAGGATTGATATCATTAGCGGATTTACACATAGTCCACAAAGAGCCATTTTCAAAAATCTGGATACTCAAGGATTGATATCATTAGCAGATTAGTACAAACTCCACAAAGAGCCATTTTCAAAACTCTGGATACTCAAGGATTGATATCATTAGTGGATTTACACAAAGTCCACAAAGAGCCATTTTCAATAAGCTGGATACTCAAGGATTGATATCATTAGCGGATTTACACAAAGTCCACATTGAAGTAAATTCTTAAAAATAAACACGTCAACAACAATAACAACACAGACTGAATATCTAATCATTTAAGAATTGACCTTTACTTTGTGTGAGTTCATTGGAGTATGAACCTTCATAGAGTGAGGGCCAAACTGTATGAACGTCGGAGCTTGCGACGACGTTCATACAATGTTTGGCCCTCACTCTATGAAGGTTCATACTCCAATGAACTCACACAAAGTGAAGGTCAATTCTTATAATTTTTTTATCACAATTTCTTACCTAAAAAGATGTAGGCCTAGATCTAAACACAATTTTATTTAGTACGTGTGACTTCATGTTTACACTGACAGCCATACAACAACCAGCTATATCGCGGAGTAAAATAGTTCCTCAAAAAGAGAGGTGACATGGGCGTATGGATGCACAACTTGCTCTCCAGAAACATCTTACGCAGCACATGTGTTCAAATCATATCCTCATTAGATGAGAAAGGTCTGTAAAGAACTACCTCAGTGAGTCAGTCACAATGACAGCGCGTCGTAATACATTTACATCAAGTACAAGACGTCAAAATGGCCGACACGATAAACGTGACGGGAGAGATTTCCGAAGTTGTTGATGAACCTTTGGCGGTTACATGTGTTAGTCATCATTAATCAACTGGCCGATCATTGAAAGGTGAATAAAGATGCGTCAAACAGACACAAAGGTAAATTCATAGATTGCTTGAGACGGTCAATGTCAGCCTAGGCACGGATCGAGTCGATACTACAATAGTTTAGATGTGCATTTCTTCGTTTGTTGGATGGGCCGTAGCGAGGATATTCGTGAACAATCATGCAGTCACGCTCTCTGACATTTCTCAAAGCATACTGAAACGCTGAGACCAAGAATAAAGGTTCTAAATGATCAGAAAGAACGCTTATGCATGTTTTCGTGGTAGGGAATTCCCAGGGGTTTCCCCAGGAATGTGGAAGTAGTCCGTCAGTGTTTACGTCATTTCAAGAACACGGTCTCGTGAAAAACGTATGAACGTCAAATTGTGTCGTTCATACACTTATGAACGTCAATTTCGCGGTCATGTGACCGACCTCTCGTCCAATGGAAAAGCCGTATATCGTGTAAACTTCAAATAAAAAAATTATTAGCACTTAAATAACTGCATACAAGAATGCGAAATCAGCGACATGGCTGAATAATACAACTGAATAAGGTTAGCGGCAAAAGAGGTAGAAATTCAATACATCAACGTATACATACATATGAACATGGGATTAACACAAAACCTCTTATCTCCACCCACTCTATTGCCAAGTAGTTGTAGTCCGACAGCAGGTGTTACGGAAACATAAACGAAAGCATTTGGTTTTGTTAGCCAACCAAATGTCACTGAATCACTTGCAATTTATTGTGTGTTGTGTGTTGTGTGTTGTGTGCTGTGTGTTGTTATGTGTTGTGTGAGTGGTATGTGTGTTGTGTATAGAACGGATGTCTGTAATTAATTGAGTCTGGACCAGATAATCCAGTGACTGACACCGTGAGCATCGATCCACGCAATTGGGATACAATGACATGCATCAACCAAGTCAGCGAGCCTGACCACCCGATCCCGTAAGTCGCCACTTACGACAGACATTGGCTGCTGAAGACCAATTCTAACCCGGACCGTAATGGTGTTACACCAAGGATCGGAGCCCAGGTTATCAAACAGAGAACAAATACATAAGATCGATTCAGTGTGACTGATCATTTAAATTATTTCTTTTGTACTCGAATATCACAGCTGAAGATTAACAATACCAGCCCAGGAAGGGCTGTATATGAGTGGGTGCTTTGTTTCATTTCAGGAGCACCCTATCATTGCACTGAGGAACAGTTAAAAGAGTTTTACGGTAACGACAATATTTTCAAGGGTCATTTCAGGAGCCGCAGTATCAATGAGTGAGTGAGTATGGTTTGACGCCGTTTTTAGCAATCTTCAAGCGATATCACGGCGTAATTGTTTAATAGACATTACTTAGGAGTCGACGGATGACAAGGTAGACACAATTTTATGGATAACAGCTTCTTTAATACTGTGAAAAGCGACGTTTCGATATAGATCCTTATACCGTTGCCAAGCAATACTGAATGTACATGGGACATTGTACATAATATACATTTTACATTTATTTGATAAAATGTGACATTCCAGTACATAGTTGATTAATCATCTAAATAGATGATGGCATGTTGACCAAAATTTATAGAATAGGCAAATGCCACACTCAATAATCGCTGCACATTTAGTTTAATATAATAAAGAAAATCGGGGAACTTTACAATCAACAACTTATTTTTGTGATCTAAAATAAATCTTATGATCTAATCATATTTTGATTAATGCTTTCTAAACAACTAATTTGAGTTAACCGAATGCAATACGCTGTGTTGTTAACCGAGGCGACATCTGCGATGTGGAATACCAAGACGAATACGACTTCGACCCAAGAAAGGTCTACCACGGGGATGTGGACGAAGAAGGACAACCACTGAAGGAGGAAGTGGGGAAGGAAGAGGCCAGTCAGTCTGACGAAGAGGCGTTAGCTGTGATTGTTCTACAGAATTATTTTCTGAAGAAGAGGGAGTAATGTATGTCTTCTCCTGACTGTGGCCTGTAAGCAACTCTCACAGAGCTCACGAGTCAGGGTGCAGTCAATTCTGTAGACATGGGGAATATTGAGCTTGACTTCGTACTTCGAGCACATGGGAAGCAGATGATTATATTTGATATGCTAATGTATTAGAGCACTAGGCTGTGGCCAACTAAAAGGGACTCCTTGTTTACTTGAAGTCACCCCATCCATCTGTCATTGCCTGTCTACTCAAACACTCTGGAATATACCAGTCCAACATTCAGTGATTGCCCTGAGGCTCATAATTAACATACAATGTCACAGTTTCACATATGGTACTTAGTGATATGTGTTTGTCTGTATAGTCATACACTCTGGTATATACCAGCCTAACATTCAGTGATTGCCCTCATAATTAACATACAATGTCACAGTTTCACATATGGTACTTAGTGATATGTGATTGTTTGTATAGTCAAACACTCTGGTAAAGATCAGTCTAACATTCAATGATTACCCTAATTAGTCTCATACAATGTCACACATACGGTACTTAGTGATATGTGTTTGTCTGTATGGTACTCTGTGATATGTTTGCTTTCTCAAGCATTATGCTGGTATCAAATCATTGTTACAACCAGAAAAATATTATTGTAATTATATTACAAGATCAATCTCAATTGAGAGCTCTTTGTAAATTTAGAATATCTCTCCATAACTTCCTTGTCAGTAAATGTCGTTAAACCAAGAATAGTGATTTTGTAAATTGTATATGTACTTACTGTACCAACCAGGAGATTGAAGTCGAGTTTCATGTCCTTTTTATAATTGAAAAATATGTAACGTTGAGATCAAACTTTCTATCTAATTTAGATATATATATTACACACAAAGACAATCACTTAATGTCAATTTGTTGGATTCGACCGATGGAGATGTTATCAAATCTTTAGCAATGTATTTAAAACATGTATTTAGACTATTTAGAATTATATTACGCTATGTTCAAGACCACGTTGATTTTCATGTATCTGTTAAAACTTCACTGTACTATGGGCCACATGGCCTTACATATTGAATAAACTGCCTGCCTGTCTGATTTGTTTGTCTGTCTACTCTTATATTCTGGAATATATTAGTCTCACAATCAATGGTTGCCCTAATTTGTAACCTACAGTTTCACATATGGTACTTAGTGATATGTGTTTGTCTGCCTACTCTTATATTCTGGAATATATCAGTCTAACATTCAGTGATTGCCTTAATTAGTAACATACATACGGGTCTGAGCGCAACGTTTATACGCAGACTGAACATGGGCAACAGACTACAGAGATGGCATCACACTGTTGTGACTATTCTTGTCTTTACCTATGTATCGTGTTAGTTAATAAGTACAAGTAGCATGCTTGTTGCGGCTAGATATATACAGAACAGAACATATTATGTCAAAATATTTTTATTTTAGAAACAATCGACTTACATAAAACATATGAAGTTTAATAAAACATAACAAATATACATATTTATGACTTGTCTTGGTCGTTAAAATAATGGATCTAAATAAGGCATTTGTATTGCATAGAAAATATTGCACTGCACTAACATCGGGGAAACAGAAGGAGGGGTTAATTAAAACTGAAAAAGGGTGCAACTGAATCATCATGAATTAAATTATTGCAGCAAAATACATGTTTTAACTTATTCTGGTCATATTTACAGGATAAGAATTCCACCTTTTGGATTGGTGGCCAAATAAATGTTCGCTCATGTTTAAATAATACGTGGACACACATATGCCGAAAGTGAGTGAGTGAGTGAGTGAGTGAGTGAGTGAGTGTTCTGTCTTGTTCCAGCCATATTACGACAGGGATATCAAGAATTAGCTTCACACATCTTACCATTAAGGGAATCGAACGCGTGTCGTTGACATGACGACCCAGCGCATTAACCACTATGCTATTGTGTACAAGAGCATATACAATTCCAGCAATTGGTGTCCAATTAATAGCATAAATTAAAACTACACCCACACATTATAAGCATACCTGCCAGCTTTGTCAAGTATGCGAAAAGACGCTTAAGAAGTCTTCAAAAATGTTATATGACCTTACTATGAGTAGTCATCGTGCACATCCTCAGTTATTTTACAAAAAGCAGACCCTACCAGTTATCTTTGATTTTGTTTTCCCAAATCTTGAAAAAAAACATTTGTTTCTAATAATCCAAATATGAGTAAAGTAAAGTTCATGATTGCATTCTTTCAAGCTAATCCTTGTTGTGGGGAGAAATTACCGAATACCAGAACTGAACATAAACAATGCAACAGTGACAAGCAACCCAACACTCACTCACATGCACTCGATATATGAGTGAAATAGTTCCGCGTTGAAACTGCCGGATAAAACGAATAAAACAAAGACTGGTCGCCTCGAAGACAATATGATTGGTCTGATTGGGTATTGCGTCTAAGTGGGCTAGCACTATAGATCGGATAAAGTCCGGACCAGTATAAGCAGTTCAATGCACATTTGCATGCATGGCGCTTTTTTCGGGAAATAGTAACATTAGTTGCATATGTTAATCCGACGTTATTGGTGAGCGGTGCTCGAAACTATACCATATCAAAGCCACCCAGCTTCAACAATGATACGAACACTGCCTTTCAAAAAGGTTATTCATATTGGATATTCTATTGGCTATTCATACGGTCAAATCTATGTGAAAAATTCCGGTGAAACTTGTTTCCCTGTTGGTTCGAGCTGAAGGCTTAGCGTTATTGGCGCTTTTAGCACACAGGCCAAACAATGCGGTAGAAATCTGTACCATATGCGGTTAGAAGTGCGCAGGTGTAGCATCGTTAATTATGAATGCAATTGACACAGAGATATATCTACAGAATTTGATTTTGGGCAATACAAATCATAACAAACTGCCCTACTCATGTTAATTATGTCGCAGTCCACCATTTGTTTCTTTTCGATACTGAGAACCAATGAAAGCCATGTTAAGTGTCGCCCAATCGCAGGCTACGGAAATCGGCCATCGCCTCTCTACTCGTTTAGGTAGACAGGAGCCCAGTCCAACAAGAGGTGTCCGTGGTATCATCACCGCCAGTACAGCGACTCCTTTCTGATGGTATTCGTTTGTCCAATCTCTGCTAGGCATTTGTATGTGGTATCCAAAAGAACCGTTGTTTGTGGATGATATTCTGGTGGACTCTTCTGGGCCCATGTGATGGAAAAGGGATTCGAACCCATCCATGGCACTGGCCTTAGTTGTGACTCCACTGAGCCAATCAACCGTGACCTCCTAACATACCGTGCAAGACAGAGTCGGATTTGTGTGAACCAGTGACCAGTACTGTTACATCCGAGTGAGACAATAAAAGTGAAATCGAAATCCGATGTCATGAATTCCTTCCTCAACATCGCGATCATCCTCAGGGACGTCATAGCCATGGTCTGCGACTTTGACAACCGTAAACATGTTCCCTACAACAGAGAGATAATTTAAACAATCTGTTTCCAGACAGCATTTCGATACGGACTATCATCCAAATGATACGAGTCAGCATTAAGTATCCCCAGAAACAGGTCATCGACAAGGTTCGCATGATAAATTTCCCCAGGAGTTGTTGTATGTGTTTCAGTGGCTGTTGCTGTAGTATGAGGCGTTACAAGTTAGTGAGTGAATTTACACCGCAGTACACAGTATTTCAATTATATTACTAACAAACTTATTTCACAACCAGGGAGAACCTGTCATTGGAACCAACGATCAGAGGATAGGATCATGGCACATCTAAGGGGGGCAACTATGCTCGACTTGCAACGACTTAGCAATCCGTAGCGTCACGAGAATCACAAAGACGAGAGGCTTTAAGTGGATGTAAAACCACAGTTTATTCCCTACACGTCACACTCAGGTAGAATATTCAGCGTGACGAGCAAACACACTCTCCCTATTGTCCTCCATCAGCTGTGACGTTAATTGCAACGTTTGTGTGCTATAATCAAACGACCAATCTTCTATTGCGGCGTACTTTCCTGTGCAGAGTTGCGTCCCTTAGGCATCAACGACCCTTATGATCGAGTGTTCGAATTGCATATTCGCCCTGATTATGTTTCTAGGTTTGTCAGCACCAACCCTTGCTCGTCAGCGCCCCGAGGCAAGGGAGTTAACTGAATATAGAAGTCCAGTTTCAACCCTTGCCTGACAAGGCTGGAATTCCCGAGTTACATTTTGGCTGGACTAACGAGTCTATGCACAGTCCAATCAAAATCGCGTAACAAATTAGACATCCGGCTCGTAAACAACATTTCCAAATATTTTCATGTTTTTTTCAAGGCGCTCAAATGATTTGATGCACTTCGCGAGAGGTCTTGACTATCGATAAGATCTTCTTGACGATCATCTTGTTTGAAGCAAAGGCAAGCGACATGGGAGGTGGAATCTGATTGGTCAATAGGAAGGAGATAGAAGGGACATAACTCCTAATAGCCACTGATCGAGCCTGGAAATTCCAGCCTAGTTCGGCAAGTGTCGGATCGTTTGGCGTATGGTCTCCTTTGTCTTTTTGATTCAATATTCAGAAACCGGTGAGCGAGTTAGATGGGTGAGGGGACACCAGAAATTGGCTCTATTTTGTACCACTGTCGAACCCGAGCCTTCAACATGACGAGCGAACGATCCTATTTACACACTTACTAAAACACGAGCCTAACACTTCTAAAAAAATATTGTATTCAGAAATATTTTACCAAAGACTTCCTCGACATCTTCGATGGGGAAACTGTATGGCGGACCTGAAAGCAAAAACAATGCAAAAACTTTACAGAAGGAAGAAGAAACTCAAGCATTGTTTTGGTGTTCCCTACACTGAAAGTGTTAGGCCGGCATATCAAGGCAAGGTCGCCGGTAAATGGGATTGCACAGCAACTACGTGGAGAGTTGAACCCGGGCCTGAGGCGTGACGCGCGAACGCGAACACACGAGGCTACCCTTACTTCTCAAGTCCATATAGATCAATACATATTTTTATCAGCATTTGTTCTCACAGTCGTGCTATTTTATGACGGATTGATTGTGTTGAATTATGACAATGTGGACGTAAAAGTATTCTTACAATAGAAATATTAATTACTCAATGTTGTATGTATCGAATATTTTACCTTCAAATTTCGTTTTGTCAAAGACCAGTGTCTCGAGGAAGAAGACACAGTTTGGTTTGAGCACGCAGCTCATAGCTGTCATGTACCTGAAGCAAGAATACACACATCTCAAATATGGCGACCTTAACAAGGACGGATATAAATACTTGCCCGCTAGCTGGAATGCAGAGAGCCTCCAACTTCCTTGACAAGAAGGTGAGGTGAGGTGAAATGGGGTTTAACGTCGCGTCCAAGATTATTGCACTTATATAGCGACGTGCATGTACGTGTGTGTGTTTGTGTGGCTGCTTGTACTAGTCCGGACTGATGCCGATTTATAGTGCTAGCCCACTGATATACCATGCAGCAGTTTAACATGAATACCCCACTCCGAGCCGACCAGTCCTTGTTTTAGTCCCTTAATGCCGAGCGCTAGACAGGGTAACAACAAGTACCATCTTTTAACGTCTTTTGGTATGACGCGGCCGGGGATCGAACCCCGGACCTTCCGCTCTCCGGGAGGACGTTCTACCACTAGACCACGGAGGCGGTCTCCTTGACAAGAAATCACCATAAATGAGGCTCAAATACAAAGGAAATGCCAAAAGTGATGCATGTCTTAAACTGCTATCACTTAAGTTGGTTGGTTTGTTGTCTAACGCCACACTCAGCAATATTCCAGCTATATGGCGGCGATCTATAAATTACCGAGTCTGTACCAGACAATCCAGTGATTAATACCATAGCATCGATCCACGCAATTGGGATCAAATGCATCAACCAAGTCAGCAGGCCTGACCACCCGATCCCGTTAGTCGCCTCTTACGACAAGCATGGGTTGCTGCAGACCTATTCTACCCCGGAATCTTCACGGGTCTATCACTTAGGAGAAACCCCAGTGTAAATATGGGATTCTAATCCACTGTCACAGGTTTCTGACACACCTAAGGGAGGCAATTCTGCACAGACAGCGAATTGCGGCACCTTAGACGACTGGGCCACCAGTGCCGCCGGTCTAATATGAGATTGGCGAGGTTCGAATCTCATATTGCATGGAACTGGTATAACTGCTTTGAGACTTCGGTGGCTGTGTGGGTTGGATCGCTGACTTTGTGTGCTGGCAATTAGGTGCCTCACTCTGGCAGTGTGGGTTTGAATCCCGGACGGGACTCAATCCAAGAAAGTACGAGACTCTTTACTTTACAAAGAAAGTGTTATCCCAAATTATAACATTTGTTACATTAACCAACGAGCTACAATATATAGCGAGCTTTCTATATATTGCTCATTGCCATTTCAGAGAGATAGTTAAGGAAAAACTTAGGAAATTTGAACCCTACTGAGAAACGTCACTAAAGGCAGCTACTGTTCAGATGACGAAAAGTAATCAGTTTATCACATCATGAACAGTGGATGACGTCATATCGCATATCAAAGTCAGAAGCACTGTATATGGCTCTAATTGACCAATCACCATTAAGAATCACTAAACTGCATGTGCAAATATCGGCAAGTTATTACACACAATCATTTTACACTTATGGGGAACCCCTCTGTTCACCTACTGCAAAGCGTGAAGGAAAACAACATTACCGGTCTCTGTCTCGAACATCGATAGAACCAAGGGATCCAGTGTCCCATACAACATCAAACAGACCCTCCAGTGTTCTGAAAATATGTATGGATATGTGATAACAAACAGCCACGTGGAACCTCATTAGCTTTTAAAAAATAGTTGCATGTTTTATCCTGCCCTGCAAGTGAGTGAGTGAGTGATTTGGGTTTAACGCCACCTTGAACAGCATATTTCAGTGATATCACAGCATATCAGTTTGATGTGGGAGGAAAGCCTAAAGTGATGCAGGTTTTAAAAGTTTACAACTTTGGTGAAATCCACGAGCATGCTGCTGACAAGACCCAGAAATATAATCATGCAATAACCGGCATAGAACATCGATTATTTGTTCCGGGTATACAAAGGGACACAACCCTGTGTGGTAAATTATTGTGTGTCACGGCTTTGTAGTAATATACAATGCATTTAGATGGACTAGATAAAATTTTGTATCAATACAAGGCAGATTTAAGCCATTATGCTACAAGAAGTAGTTTCGTGGAACAGACTCACGAATATAGGTGACGTCACACGAACTATCACGTTGCCAAATCGAAACATGTGATTTAGAACGTGTTCACATTTTGTTTTTGCACATTAAACAGTCAGTAACATCAGTGGTGCTATACGTTAATTCATGTAGCAATAACGTATAGTATACAACACGTACAGTATGATTCATCTCACTGTCCACTGACCGAAATATACAAAAGGCTTGTACATTACAGTATGCCACCTAGGACGTTGGTGGTCATGTGACCTTGCACACCTTTTCACACAGACTGTTGACAATCGGTCGTTTTATACACGCTCGAATCCTCCAAGGTCACTTGCTTTACCTTTATCAAACCATATCCCTAAAACTTACATTATTTACCCGAAAGTTGTGTCGTAGCAGAGCAGGCATTATGTGAAACTTAATTATATACCTACTCGTTAAAATCGAAGAAGTTTACCACGTAGAACTTGATGGCATCATCTGTTGACTGTCAACATTCGAAACATTCATATCAGTGTTAATTGAAAAATCGCTTTTGAGATGAAAATGCAAATATTCATTGGTTGAGCAACATGTTATGATTTTTTAAAGGAGATATGAGATACAAGATTCCCGACACGCAACTGTGTTGCACACAACTAGCGGAGTGAATTTAATCATGAATAAAAAACTCTTATTAACTCAAATCATTCTTCAGGAAAATAGATGAAGTCATTGAGGAAATTGGTGTCCGAAAGAGCCAGAGTATGCTTGTTTGTTTGTTTCCGAGTTTAACGACGTTTAACGACACACTCAGCAATATTCTAGCTCTATGACGGCGGTCTGCAAATAATCGAGTCTACGACAATCCAGTGATTGACGTCATGAGCATCGATCCACGCAAGTAGGACCGATGACATGGCGAATGTCCGCGAATCTGATAACCCGGTCCCGCTTATCACCTCTTACAAGAAACATGGGTTGGTGATGATAGTTCTAGCCCGAATCTCCACGGACAAGGGACGGAGCAGAATCAAAGATCCTGCAGTCGCCTTTCACGGCAAGCACGTTTTGCTGAAGACCTACACTAACCCGAAATTTGACCCGTCTGTTGACAGACAATGACATACAAAGAACAGTGTTTGTGGTTTTGGTAGCTGTTGACAAAGTAAGGCGGAGTACCTGATATAGTTTCCCCTGTGTGTGCGGAAGGTCTTGTACTGTATGGGGGATCTGGTTCCGGTCAAAGAACAGTCTGGCCGCCACCTCGGAGATGTCCACGCCCACCACGCTGTGACCTCGGTCAGCAAACCTGGAACAGAAGCGAGTCACAATGATCAGAGAGTCTCTATACACAACACAGTACGCATAAAGATCGTTAGGTCACGATACAGTACGTATAATGATCGAAACAAGTATTTCGATAAAGTACGATTACAATCTGGAGGTTAATACATTGACTATTACGATCGTCACGATACGATACGTACTTCAACCTTCAGACAACGATGCGATAAACAAGGTGTGCCCTTGATCAACGTGAATGTTGAAGCTTTCAAACTGGGATTGTGAGTGAGTATAGTTTTACGCCGCTTTCAGCAAAATTCCCTGCTATATCAAGGCGAGGGACACCGGAAATGAGCTTCTCACATTGTACCCATATCGGTAATCGAACCCGGGTCTTCGGCGTGACGAGCGAACGCTTTAACCACAAGGTTACCCGACCGCTCCTAGCTTTAAAAAGGAGTTGATACTGAGTGAGTAAGTACAGTTTTACGCCGCTTTTAGCAATATTCCAGCAATATCACGGCGGGGGACACTAGAAATGGGCTTCACACAGATGATACTGAATTACATCTCTGACAAAAATTACTCCGCGGACATCGAATTGGCAAAACGTATGCGTGTGTAAAAGGCCAGCTCTTCTGGTCCGTACGGGGGGGCACGGGGGGCCCAGTCGTCTAAGGCGCCGCGATTCGCTGTGCAGAGTTGCGTCCCTTGGGCACGCCAGAAACCTATGATTGAGGGTTCGAATCCCGGTTCGCCCCGATTATGTTTGTAGGTTTGTCAGCACCATACCCGTGCTCGTGGGTTTCACCGAAGTGGTAAACGTCTTAGACCTGCATCACTTCGGGCTTTCCTCCAACATTAAGCTGACACGCCGCGATATAACTGGAATACTGTTAAAAGCGGCGTTAAACCCAACTCACTCACTCACTCTGGTCCGTACGTAACATTTTTACCGATGGACGACCTCCTGATAGCTCATGTTTAAAGAGAGACATAAAACCACCAGGGTGCTAAACTCACCACTTCATATCTAGACACGTTCCACACAGAGGTACGAGAATTCTCAGATGCTGGCGTCCATCAGTTAGATCATCGAAATGTTCCACCAGACATCTGGACAAAAAAATACCTTATTAGTGATGCCACAATGAGCTTGGTTGGTACAAAGAGTCTACAGAAGACTTATATAGGCCGCTATAAGTGCTACCAATCATTACTTCTGTGAATATATATCCAAAGCTTCCGTTCCACTAATCGATCGTAGTTAGGATAGTCATAGTGCTAAGATCGCTTTCTTGAACCAGAAACGGGCGAAAAAAAGTGTTACCTTTAATAGCGTTTATGATGATAGTTGATAACCACTGGCCTTGACAACCTTGTGTAACCAGGACGTTTGAAGCACTTAACACAGGAAGCTGAACCTGCTTACCATAATAATATCAACAACGGCAAGCCGGAAGTAAATAAGGCTGGTCACTTACGGGTCCGGATGTGTATCCACCAACGATCCCAGAGTTCCATCGTCCCAGGATTTCATCCAATCATCAATGCGTCGCTGCGGGTCGTCTACAAGGACAGAGGATTGGGGTGATTCTTCGTGACACTTCTCCGTCATCTGGACCGATTGACATCTCACATCTACAGTTTAGGTGATAAAGGAAACATAATAATATATACGAAACTGCTTCTCACGTGGCTCGAGTAAACCCATTTTTTAATTAGTGGAAGAACCATATACAGTAGAGCCCCGATTATCCAGACGGCAGTGCTCCCCAGTCATTGTCCGAAATAAAAGATGTTCGCATTAATGAAATATGGGTATGAATAGTCATTTATGTACTTTTGTACATATGTATGCGTTCAGTGATGTCCAGAAGGTGGGTTTTCCGGATTAACGGGGTTTGGTTTTCGAGGTTACACTGTATACAGCCTAAGGCAAATTTACTTAAATTCAGCTTAGTTATGTTCAATGTGTTTCTTGCCATCGGTAACTCACACGTAATTACTTGTGGAGAGTTCCGCTCATAATTTGTTTGTTTGTTTGTTGTTTAACGTTTTTACTCGTTTTCGTTGGTTGTACCGAAGACGTAACCAACCATCTAGGCATTTCTTCTACACTGGGATTACACGATGGGAGCAGTTTCCCTTAGCATACGGGAATGCTTTTGTGATGGTTTATACGGACACCTTTAGGGCCATTTTTGTTGTTGAAATTTCAAGATACTAAGTTATAAGTTCAAAAGCGAGTGGGTGAGTTTGGTTTAACAGTATTCCAGTTATATCACGGCATGTCAGCTTAATGTGGGAGGAAAGCACGAAGTGATGTAGGTCTCAGACGTTTACCACTTCGGTGAAACCCACGAGCACGGGTATGGTGCTGACAAACCTAGACACATAATCGGGGCGAACCGGGATTCAAACCCACAATCATAGGTTTCTGGCGTGCCCAAGGGACGCAACTCTGCACAGCAAATCGCGGCGCCTTAGACGACTGAGCCATCCGTGCCCCCTATAATTTCAAGATACTTACTAAGATAACATCTTGAAATTTCAACTTATTCTCTTGAAATTTGTACATTGCATTTGAAATTTCAACTTAGATTCTTGAAATCTTGACATTTCAACAAATGGCCCTAAAAGGCTTCCGTAGCTTTATGTAAAGCAATATGTCAAAAACATTAACAATAATCATCATGTCCACATTAGTCTTTGGGGGTTTTAGCTATAAATACGGTCATCATTTATCCACCAGCTCATGCGTGACGGCATCCTGAAGTCACAAACAAAACAACAGTCTGAAACATACACGTTGACATATTGTTCCCTTTATTAACCATGCTTTAAGCGATTGCTTGTTTATATCGCCATTACATTCACAATAGAGTGTATCGAAATATTTCATCAGAAAAAAACAGAAGCATATTTATGAAATGAAAATATATATCATACTGAGTGAATGAGTGGTTTGACGCCGGTTTGACGCCGTGTGATGTGGGGAATCGAACCCGAGACAATCTAGTGGTTGATAGCGTGACAGGTATGTTGCAAGAAGGGCCCCGTCCAACAAGTTGATCTTAGCACTGGTTGGTTGGTTGGTTTGTCGTTTAACGCCGCACTCAGCAATATTCCAGCTTTATGTCTGACGGTCTGTAAATAATCGAGTATGGACCAGACAATCCAGTGATTGACATCATGAGCATCGATCCACGCAATTGGGATCGATGACATGTATCAACCAAGTCAACGAACCTGACCACCCGATCCCGTTAGTCGCCTTTTCGACAAGCATAGTCGCCTTTTACGGCAAGTATTGGTTGCTGAAGACCTATTCTACCCCGGAATCTTCACGGGTAATCTTAGCAGTGTGATTGTCGTAAATCTATGTTAAAGTAAGGGCGTCTCAGCGTTACTATAGCTTTGAGGAACGCGGCTCGAAACCTCGCCTTATATCATGTATATTTGTTTGTATGTTGTGTAACGCCACACTCAGGAATATATAACCTATATGACGGCCTGTATATGGTGTCTGGACCAGACAATCCAGTGACTGGTAATATTAGCAATGATCTACAACGTCTTGGTACGATGACCTACAAAAAAAAGTTAACGAACCTGACCGGCAATTTAGTCGCCTAGAAAAACAAGCATAGGCGGATTGGGACGTATTCTAATATGGAATACCCATGGGTCCACAGAAATAAAGGGTCTAGGAGCAGCAATATGGTTGAAAGACATAGGAGAGCGAAAACACTTCATCTCGAATTATTCCTTACCGTCAAATCAACACCCGTCCCAACATCGTCGTGTCACTGTGCCAGGCAGCGATCAACTATCACCAAAGTACCCGTTTGTCTTTTATTGTTAAATAACATTGCCATTTGGATACCACCAGGAAATATTATCACACAGGAAGGTCATTATGAGAGAGCAGGAAGGACATTCTGTGAAAAGCGGATTCGATAAGCGACCTACATGTTTTATAAAGAGAGGCCTGATTTGGTAAGGGATAGGATTTAACCCTCTGATTACATGAACCAAAAGTTTTGAGTGAGTGAGTGTGGTTTTACGCCGCTTTTAGCAATATTCCAGCAATATCACGGCGGGGGACACCAAAAATGGGCTTCACACATTGTACCCATGTCGGGAATCGAACCCGGGTCTTCGGCGTGATGAGCGGACGCTTTAACCACTAGGCTACCCGACCGCCCCCAAAAGTTTAGAGACAGAAAGAGCGAGACAGACAGAGAAAGACAGAAACAGAGACAGACAGAGACACAGACAGACAGAGACAGAGACAGACAGAGACAGACAGAGAGAGACAGAGACAGACAGAGAGACGTGTGAAGTTACCGTGGCGCAGGGGAGAGCGGGTGACTTAATTTTTAGGCTGTTTTGAGGATATTTCGGTTATTTGTATCACGTTGTGTGATTTGTTTGTCTGTTTGTTGTTTAACACCGCACTCATTAAAATCCAGCTATATGGCTGTGGTCTGTGAATAATCGAGTCTCGACCAGACGACCCAGTGTTTGATATCATGAGCATCGATCCACGCAATTTGGATCGATGACATGCATTCATTCGCCAAGTCTGACCACCAGGTCCCGTTAGTCGCCTCTTACAAGCATAGTCGCCTTTTACGGCAAGCATGGGTTGCTGAAGACCTATTCTAACCCCGATCTTCAAGGGTATCACGTTTTTATGAGGTCAAAGAGAGAGGAAATCCAAACTTGCATGGACGTTTACCACGAACTAGGATGGTCATCGGCAGCGGATCTTGCAACCAAGGGACACAACTGTGTACACAACAAGTCGATCCTGTCAACCACGGGATACAACTGTGTACACTCCAACCAGCGGATCCTGACAACCAAGGGGCACAACTGTGTACATTACTACCAGCGGATCCTGTCAACCAAGGGGCACAACTGCGTACACTCCAACCAGCGCATCCTGACAACCAAGGGGCACAACTGTGTACATTACTACCAGCGGATCCTGACAAACAAGGGGCACAACTGTGTACATTACTACCAGCGGATCCTGACAAACAAGGGGCACAACTGTGTACACTACAGCCAGCGGATCCTGACAACCAAGGGGCACAACTGTGAACACTACAACCAAGGGGCACAACTGTGAACACTACAACCAAGGGGCACAACTGTGAACACTACAACCAAGGGGCACAACTTGAACACTACAACCAAGGGGCACAACTGTGTACACTACAACCAGCGGATCCTGACAACCAAGGGGCACAACTGTGTACACTACAACCAGCGGATCCTGACAACCAAGGGGCACAACTATGTACACTACACTACTACCAGAGGATCCTGACAACCAAGGGGCACAACTGTGTACATTACAACCAGCGGATCCTGACAACCAAGGGGCACAACTGTGTACACTACAACAAGAGGATCCTGACCACCAAGGGGCACAACTGTGTACACTACTACCAGAGGATCCTGACAACCAAGGGGCACAACTGTGTACACTACACTACTACCAGAGGATCCTGACAACCAAGGGGCATAACTGTGTACACTACAACCAGAGGATCCTGACAACCAAGGGGCACAACTGTGTACACAACACTACAACCAGCGGATCCTGACAACCAAGGGGCACAACTGTGTACACTACACTACTACCAGAGGATCCTGACAACCAAGGGGCACAACTGTGTACACTACACAACTACCAGAGGATCGTGACAACCAAGGGGCACAACTGTGTACACTACACTACTACCAGAGGATCATGACCACCAAGGGGCACAACAGTGTACACTACTATCAGAGGATCATGACCACCAAGGGGCACAACTGTGTACACTACACTACTACCAGAGGATCCTGACAACCAAGGGGCACAACTGTGTACACTACACTACTACCAGAGGATCCTGACAACCAAGGGACACAACTGTGTACACTACACTACTACCAGAGGATCCTGACAACCAAGGGGCACAACTGTGTACACTACACTACTACCAGAGGATCCTGACAACCAAGGGGCACAACTGTGTACACTACACTACTACCAGAGGATCCTGACAACCAAGGGGCACAACTGTGTACACTACACTTCTACCAGAGGATCCTGACAACCAAGGGGCACAACTGTGTACACTACTACCAGAGGATCCTGACAACCAAGGGGCACAACTGTGTACACTACACTACTACCAGCGGATCCTGACAACCAAGGGGCACAACTGTGTACACTACACTACTACCAGAGGATCCTGACAACCAAGGGGCACAACTGTGTACACTACACTTCTACCATAGGATCCTGACAACCAAGGGGTACAACTGTGTACACTACTACCAGAGGATCCTGACAACCAAGGGGCACAACTGTGTACACTACACTACTACCAGAGGATCCTGACAACCAAGGGGCACAACTGTGTACACTACAACCAGCGGATCGTGACAACCAAGGGGCACAACTGTGTACACTACACTACTACCAGAGGATCCTGACAACCAAGGGGCACAACTGTGTACACTACACTACAACCAGCGGATCCTGACAACCAAGGGGCACAACTGTGTACACTACATTACTACCAGAGGACCCTGACAACCAAGGGGCACAACTGTGTACACTACACTACTACCAGAGGATCCTGACAACCAAGGGGCACAACTGTGTACACTACACTACTACCAGAGGATCCTGACAACCAAGGGGCACAACTGTGTACACTGCAACCAGAGGATCCTGACAACCAAGGGGCACAACTGTGAACACTACACTACTACCAGAGGATCCTGACAACCAAGGGGCACAACTGTGTACACTACAACCAGAGGATCCTGACAACCAAGGGACACAACTGTGTACACTACACTACTACCAGAGGATCCTGACAACCAAGGGGCACAACTGTGTACACTACACTACTACCAGAGGATCCTGACAACCAAGGGGCACAACTGTGTACACGACACTACAACCAGCGGATCCTGACAACCAAGGGGCACAACTGTGTACACTACAATACAACCAGCGGATCGTGACAACCAAGGGGCACAACTGTGTACACTACACTACTACCAGCGGATCCTGACAACCAAGGGGCACAACTGTGTACACAACACTACAACCAGCGGATCCTGACAACCAAGGGGCACAACTGTGTACACTACACTACTACCAGCGGATCCTGACAACCAAGGGGCACAACTGTGTACACAACACTACAACCAGCGGATCCTGACAACCAAGGGGCACAACTGTGTACACTACACTACTACCAGCGGATCCTGACAACCAAGGGGCACAACTGTGTACACTACACTACTACCAGAGGATCCTGACAACCAAGGGGTACAACTGTGTACACTACACTACAACCAGCGGTTCCTGACAACCAAGTAGCACAACTGTGTACACTACTACCAGAGGATCCTGACAACCAAGGGGCACAACTGCGTACACTACACTACAACCAGCGGTTCCTGACAACCAAGTAGCACAACTGTGTACACTACACTACTACCAGCGGATCCTGACAACCAAGGGGTACAACTGTGTACACTACTACCAGAGGATCCTGACAACCAAGGGGCACAACTGTGTACACTACACTACAACCAGCGGTTCCTGACAACCAAGTAGCACAACTGTGTACACAACACTACAACCAGCGGATCCTGACAACCAAGGGGCACAACTGTGAACTGTTTTCAGCCTAATCAAGTTTTAATAACGTTTGTAATTGTATTTGTCCAATCCAAGTATATGCTTTCTTTTGCCTAGGAGCTTATATTCACAACCAGCGGATTGTGATGTACGCGTAACCATGGTTACAGGGGTATGCGATGTGGGGGATCAAAACAAGGCTAAGTCTGATGGAATCAGGTGAAACTAATGTTAACTAATTAATTAGTTAATGCTAATTTGGCGTCTTAACGAAACAAACATAAACACAAGGACATCTTGATTCAGATCACACCACTTGATGTTCATACACATACACACACAGGAGATTGTAACGCAACAAATAGTAGCTACAAGATATATGGTCACACCCAGTGTCACTATACCGTGTAAAAGCCCCTGTGCGCACGCACACACAAAGAGAGAGAGAGTGAGAGAGAGAGAGAGAAGACAGAAAGTGAGAGAGAGAGAGAAAGAGAGAGAGAGAGAGAGTTCACAAGGGATGTAAATCTGAAGCATCCTACAGCGGCTGGTGTAGAGTATATACCACAGCTCCTATCTCAGTACACTGTACGGCAATAATTACCCCCGTTATAGCGCGTTCACCGTGCGTTACGATGAAACTATTGACATTACCTTGCCGTGTCGAGTGTGTGAGCGAACACGCGGGACAGTGGCAACGTCAAACCAAGAGTTATTAACGACGGGTGTGGATTGTGACCAGTATTGGGGAAATTAGCTTGTGTGAAACAGGTCCTTTCGCATCCTACACTTTGACTTTTTGTAATTTAGATCATGAATTCATTATATAAAGGTGTGAGAAAATGCAGCATCTATCCTACCTTAGTTGTGATGAGCCGGTTATTGACAATTCGCCTCCTCGCCGTCCACGAATGTCTGCTGTGCGCATGAACACAGTTACCGTTAAGAATGCAATAAGTGCTACGTTATATGTGTAGGTTCGTAACGGTGTTCTGATTGACGTTGTCATTGAATGGGTTAGTGTTGTGGAAGGCTGCAGACAGCAGTAGTGTGTAACAGAACGAGACAGTAATGGGTGCATGCAGATAAAGTAGAGCGATAAAGGTCAGAGGTGATAGAGCTCGCCCACTGAGATACCATGCCGCAGTTTAACATCGACACCATACTCAGACAGTATACATGATACTGACACAGAGACGTCGGGCCTTGTTTGATTCAATTAATGCGGAATGCAACAACAAATACCATCAACGTAAGGTATGACGCGGCCTGGGACGCCTGTCTACTCGACGACGAAGGTGGTCAACATATTATGAAATACATGCATTAGAAGCTCTATCCGCGCTATCCACATGTGCTACATCACGGGTGTTATATATATATGTCACATGGTCAAAGCGGAGCAGTAATTAGCTGGACAAAACAATGGCCGATTGCATGAGACGTTCCGACCGCTCGTGGTACAATGGCGTACATCAGCCAAGTCACCAACACTGGCCATCCGATCCCCGTTTTTTGTACGACAGTCAAGGGGTGCTGGGAACCTATTCTTACCCAGCGTTATCACGGGGTCTTGTGTACTAACCAATAAAGGGGCGGTCGGGTAGCCTAGTGGTTTAAGCGTTCTCTCGTCACGCCGAAGACCCGGGTTCGATTCCCGGCATGGGTACAATGTGTGAAGCCCATTTCAGGTGTCCCCCGCCGTGATATTGCTGGAAAATTGCTAAAAGCGGCGTAAAACCATACTCACTCGCTAACCAATAAAGTAAAACACACCTATTTGAATCCCACCGTCATTGTCAGCTGTGCACATCGCAGATACACTGACGTGTTATTCCATCTCCGATGTTCGCAAGAGGATAATATGATGGAGGAATAATGGGTGGCAATAGGTTTGCCCTGGTTGTATTTGTGTAGCATCAGACTCGAGTACCTAGATTGGTATTTACACTTATGGCCCAGTACTTCTTAATAGCAATGATTCTTAATTATAGATTGGCTTTGAATTGTATGGTATTGTTTGTTGTTTAACGCCGCACTCAGCAATATTCCTTGTTTGATCAAGGTTACAACATTCAAGGCCTCAGGAAATCTTTTTTTTATGGTAGACGCGTGGAGGACGTTTCAAATTTTGACGCATCACTAAAAACAAAGATGACCGATTCCCTATTTTGACTTGTATCGTATGTTCCCGTGTTGTTGTTTTTTCAGGTGAACCATTGACTTGATGTTCTATGTGTCTGTGACCGGTGCCACCGGTGGGGCAAAATATGCCCAACATTTCACGAATACCTGGGCCCACTTGCACAAAGCGATCTTAGCGCTAAGATGATCGTAACTCCCATACTTTAACATAGGCTTACAAGAGTCGTAGCGCTGAGATTGCTTTGTGCAAGTGGGCCCTGGTGTCATTCCTGTTTGATTCATTGACGCGTCCGTCATGATATGGTCGGAATTGTACAATCGACTCTTCTCTCAGCGGAAATGAATAGGGAAAGAATTGTGTCTCTTTTGTTTACATGCATACATATATATTGCATACAGAACGCCTGTGTTATTTCTTTCTACGACAATGTGAGATCAGCCTTCGATAATGTAGACCATGAAATACTGCTTCGCACACTTAAACATCACGTTGCAACTGATGAAGCTTTGTCATGTTTCCAGTCGTATTTAAAAGATAGAAGTCAACTGGCATTAACTGAGGCAAACTTTTAAAAAAAACACCTTACTTTAAAGGGGCGTTCCTTAAGCTTGGACCCAGTATTTTCTCATCTTCCCGAATCAGGTTTCACATATCATCTCACTGGGGGCACGGGTGGCCCAGTCGTCTAAGGCGCCGCGATTCGCTGTGCGGAGTTGCGTCCCGTGGGCACGCTAGAAACCTATGATTGTGGGTTCGAATCCCGGTTCGACCAGATTATGTTTCTAGGTTTGTCAGCATCATACCCGTGCTCGTGGGTTTCACCGAAGTGGTAAACGTCTGAGACCTGCATCACTTCGGGCTTTCCTCCCACATTAAGCTGTGAAATAACTGGAATACTTTGAAAGCGGCGTTAAACCCAACTCACTCACTCACTCACTCTAAGTCTCACACTACTTCTTTGCAGATGACGCTCAACTGATTCAAGCTTTCTCTCCTACCTCACAGTCATCAGTCCTCGAGCAAACAGAAACATGCACTGCTGGAATAAAAACATGGATGAACAGGCAAATGCTAAAGCTGAACGACGCCAAAACGGAGGTTTTACTTGTTGACAGAAGTCATCACCTAACTGACTGAAGTGATATTACCATTGGTTCAACCGTCCAAGCTTGTGAAAGACCTTGGTATGTGGATTGAATCAGACCACTCCATGGAGGCACAGGAAGACAGAACTTGCAAATAATGTTATACCCATCTCCGTTCCATTGGAAAATCAGAAATACCCGTGAAGATCCGGGTTAGAATAGGTCTTCAGCAACCCCTGCTTGTCATAGGAGGCAACTAACCAGATCGGGTGGTCAGGCTCGCTTACTTTTTTGATGCATGTCATGGTACTCCAATGGCGTGGATCAAAGCTCATGATATAAATCACTGGATTATCTGGTCCAGACTCGATTATTTACAGAGCGCCCTCTTATAGCTGGGATATTGCTGAGTGCGGCGTTATACAACAAACAAACAAAACAAAACATCACAGCTGAAAGTGCTCATGTTCTAGCCAGGTGGCTAGTGTTATCGAGGCTAGATTCTCGTAACGGACTGCTAACTTCCTTGACAAAAAAACACAACTCTACAAGTTACAATAAGTTCAGAATACAGGATTATTTCTCTTGAAACCAAATCAGACCACATCTCCCGTTCGAAACTCCTTACGCTGGCTTCCGGGTAAACTCCGAAGTGTTGACTTCAAGCTCCTCTGCATAATCTTCAAGTGCCTCTACAGTCAAGCTCCCGGATAATCAAATCCACGTGTATGCACATCTGCACGTAGCTGAATAAAATATGCATTTCACAGACCTAAGAGACCCGTGAAGATCCGGGGTAGAATAGGTCTTCAGCAACCCTGCTTGCCGTAAAAGGCGACTAACGATGCATGGTTGATGCATGTCATCGTATTCCAATTGCGTGGATCGATGCTCATGATGTCAATCACTGGATTGTTTGGTCAGATTTGATTATTTACAGACCGCCGTCATATAGCTGGAATATTACTGAGTGCGGCGTTAAACGACAAACAAACAAACAAACACAGACCTAAGACATTATATATGATCCATTTAGATCCATAAATTTTAAAAGATCAAGGACAGTGAGAAAATGTCTTATGAATATTTCCTATGTATATTACTTGCCTCATAACATGAGGGACGGTGGCGTAGCCTAGTGGTTAAAACGTTCGCTCGTCACGCCGAAGACCCGGGTTCGATTCCCGACATGGGTACAATGTGTGAAGCCCATTTCTGGTGTCCCCCGTCGTGATATTGCTGGAATATTGCTAAAAGCGGCGTAAAATCAAACTTACTCACTCACTCATAACAACATGTAAATTCTTGACAAATTCAAATTTGCTAAATTTGAAAAATGCCACTTTTGACAGAGGACATCATGCCGACATAAGATCTGATATATACTACTCAAGTTTTGATAGGGGTATAAGATATGCTGTGTGGTGAAGAAATAGACAATCATAATGAGTGAGGGAGTGATTTGGGTTTAATGCCGCTTTTAACAGTATTCCAGTTATATCACGGCGTGTCAGCTTAATGTGGGAGGAAAGCCCGAAGTGATGCAGGTCTCAGACGTTTACCACTTCGGTGAAACCCACGAGCACGGGTATGGTGCTGACAAACCTAGAAACATAATCGGGGCGAACCGGGATTCGAACCCACAATCATGGGTTGGCGTGCCCAAGGGACGCTACTCTGTACAGCGAATCGCGGCGCCTTAGACGACTGGACCACCCGTGTCCCAATAGACATAATGAAGGCGGTAATTAGTTCATCAGGTTTGAAATGTGATGTGTTAAATTGATTCATCTATTTCGGAGAAAACATTCTGTGTTTTCAAGGTAGAGCTATGCTACCAGTATATTTAACCCTGCTTAATTAAATGTGGAACCTAACGTGCAGCAAATGTCAATCTCTCTGTTGTCCCAAAAGCTTGAATTACTTTGTCTTTTCTCTATCATGTTGTTTTCTGGCCAAAATGTATTGCCACACCTACTTGAAATATGCAGTGTCCATATCCTTCTTTAAAACGCGGTCCAACAATGACTAAGAAAAAAGTACCTCCATAAATACTTGCTTCCGCGGTGATGCAGCCGTCCAATGAGCTATTTCAGATGTCGTTATTGTGATTTAAACCTCTGATCGACCAATCAGAATCTAATATTTTCCAAATTGAAAGTAAAATTTCATATGCGTCCACTCTTAATCAGCATGCAAGACCCCCTCCTTGGTCTAGTGGATAGAGCGTCTGCCCGGAGAGCGGAAGGATGGTAAGTGGTTCGATCCCCGGCCGCGTCTTACTAAAAGACGTTTGAAGTCACTTACCATGTCTAACGCTCGGCTTAAACGGCATAACACAAAGATTGGTCTACTTGGGTCAGGATACTGTGTCGGAATGAGGTATTCGTGTTATCACTGCGGCGTGGATTCCCGGTGGGCTAGCGCTATAAAGCTGGTGCTATTCCGGATCCAAGCAGCCACACGCGCGCACAGGCGGCACACCTCATTTCACCTGAACTAAATGTACATGCGTTTAATGGATTGTGCATGTCCATGCGATGTGTACAATAATGTGCAACTTCGTGTAGACTCAGCGAGTGTGAAGTCAATCCCAGTACAGGCAAGATTTCTTAGTGTCATTTAGAACCAGGATATGTAACTGATAACAAGAGAGCATAGGTGATTAACGTATTTATTCTAGAAGAAGCATTCGTAAAATCGCAAATGGCTAATGTCGAGACGAACACGTAGGATATTGGAATCACTTGGAGATGTAGCTGCTTCAACCATGCACCACATTGTATCTACTGGAAACTCGTTGTGGATTTG